TAAAAGCTTGATCTAAGCCAGAATCATGAAGATGGAAGAGTTGCTGTAATTGTCTCTGATAAACTTCAGACCCAGAGAGTTCTGGGTATCCGTTAGATTCAGATACTGACGAAGATCTATGCTTTGTGAGAAATCTAACAAGCAAGTGAAGGATACCAGATACGAAAAATATAACAGCTAGAATAATTATGATAAAAAGAACTGATGGGCTTATTTTACTACCAGAGGATGATGATGGGTTTGAGTGTCTTTGGTAGTCACTATTGTATGGCAGTGAAGGAGAAGAAGAAGAAGAAAGAGAAGAGGAAAGCAAACGAGAGCCAGGATAGCTGGTCAGAAAATCATTTCTTTGCCTGGTTTGAGCTTGATTCCAAGACATTTTAGGATAGTGGCACACTAGATTCACCATCAAATTTTAGGACTTTCTTAGAAACCAAACACACTTTCACCTTTCTGTAAGCTAAAGAAAACAGCTTCCTTGCTTGCATTCAGATCAAACCCAACTCATACTTTGAAGTGAAGAAGCAACAGGCACATTATTTCTTCTCTCTCAACAAACCCAATTGAGATTTAGTCAACAATGTGCAAAAAAGAACAAGACTTTGACCCAGACTTGCAACTTAAACCACGGCTCTAGAAGGCTATTATTGGTACCAGAAACACCACCTCGGTGTTTTCACTTTTGACATGAAGCCAAGGTACTGGTGGTATGCAAGAACATAAACAAATAACTTACTTTAGAGTTGTCCAGTTTGCAGTGTACCTACCTCAACTCTGGAAAATCTGCCATTAATGGAGCCCATTTGTCATGTGCTTGATGAGTCTTGTGTTGGTCTTGGACAGTGCTGCAGTGATGTATAAATAAAATAAAATTTGGGCGGTACTCATTTGAGGGGTTTCAATTTCTTTATATTGGAACTGGATGCAGAAATTTTAGTAAAAGTGGGCTGGCAGCTTCAAAAGAGCAAGTCGAAGGGTAAAAAGGTCAATAACAGTGACAGCGGCCTTATACGTGTGCGCAGAGCCAGTTTGGTAGATTAGGCGTGGACATTCTTAGATTTTGCCAATTTTCTCATACACATGTTGGGATTTTTATGGTGCAAATTTGGGAACTTGGACTTTTGGTACTTCCTTTGTGGTTCCAAAAATAGTTGGTTCATTGGACTTTTTATGTTTTTTTTATATAATTAGAGGGGTATGGGGTTTGAGTCCATTGGACTTTTGGTTGTCTGTTTTCAATTGGGTCCAATGTGGTTCAAAGCCCATTTACTGACTCTCTTCAAAGATTATTATTATTATTATTATTATTTTTAATACAAGTTAAGACTGTTGATTTGCAAGTCAAGTTACGACCGCCGATGGCAAGTCAATATCTTTTGCTAAAAAATTTACTAATGGCAAGTCGAGATCTTTTGCTAAAAAATTTACAAATCAAATCGGTGCTTATTGTAGAAGAAGATATCAAAATAAGTCAATAAAAAAATCAGGGCCTATTGACAATAATTGTCCTCCCATCTCCAAAACGTAAGGGATATGAACAACAACCAGCCAGCTGTTGCAGACTCTTCAGTTTGTCCTGTTAAGATTTTCATGATATAAATAGGAGTGGTGGTAGACTGGTAGTCAAAGGTTCCCTTTGATAGTCCAACAGGGTCCATCCTCTTCAACTAACACTTAAATTGTTTCTGCATCCCATCGCATATTAATGAATTTCACCTTCATATGCAGCAGGAAATCTTGCCTTTTTACTATGTTCTGTACTTAACCCTAAAGAAGATTAAAAAAAACCCCATATAACAAATTCCATGCATATTACATTAAATTTGTATGCTTAGAGTCCGTTCCATAACCATTTCAATTTTAGTTTTTAGTTTTCAATTTTTGTGTTAGAGTATAGAGGAAGAAGATGGAGAATATAAGTGAGAATGAGAATGGCAATGGGATTGAGAGGAAAGATGAGAGGAGAGGATGAGAGGGAGTAGTAACAAAAGTGAAACAAAAACAAAAAATTGAAATCTATTTAAAATTATTTTCACTTTTGTTACTCCTCCCCTCTCATTCTCACTTTCATTTTCCTCTATACTCTAGTACAAAAAATGAAAACTAAAAACTAAAATTGTAATGATTATCAAATGGGCCCTTGAATCTCATATCTCAGACAATTATCATTAATGTTTTTTTTATTAGTTTTTTTTAACAATAGCGACAAGCTACTCTAGATCTAATGCATGGAGGGAGGTTTGAACTCGGAAGCAAGGCCTTGACCAACTGACTTAAGCCACATATGCTTCTCGAGAATTAATAATGCAGAAAAGCCTTGAAATGGTATTTGATTTCTAAGTGGAAGATGAAGTTGCTTGCTATACAAAATATAAATTCACAACCTAAATAAATAAATACACAACCTCAATTTCTCAAACATATATAAATTCACAATCTCATCAACTTCTCAAGCATTCACAACCTAAGAAAATTAAAGTTACAATTTCAAGCATTCCAATTAAAGTTAAACTTCTCAAGCATTCCAATTCCAAATCCTTTAAAGTTATAAACCAAAAGGAAAATACAAAGCAAAATGAATTAAAGTTACAACAAAAAAGAAAAATTCAATTCAAAGTTAATTAAAGTTACAAACTAAAAGGAAAATGCAATGCACCAATGTTACAAACTAAAGTTACAAACTCAAGTGTTGGTGGTGAGTGGATTTGAAGAACCCCGTTGTGTTGTTTGAGCACCAATGTTATTTACAAATAAAACAACATAGTGTAGTACATTTTATTATAAGAAGAAGCATAAATAACATTAGTATAAATAAACTAATTACTTACAAGTTGTCATATGTTCTATTTCCTTGTAAAATTCAACTTCATCATCCGTGTGGCTATACTTTGCGGTTTGCGGTAACCGCAAGTTTTGAAAATCAAATACCGCAACCGCAACCGCAAATGCGGTTCGGTTCTTAATACCGCAAATGCGGTTCGGTTTACCGCGATTGCGGTTTCATTACGGTAAATTATCGGTTGGTTTTTGCGGTTTTTCGGTTTTTCGGTTTAAAATGCCACCCCTAGCTATACATATCTGAAAACGAATGAATGAAGTCTCTCAGTACATAATATATATGGCTAGAAATGAAGCCGGTAGGTAGGCCATGGGACACACGTTGCTTGGTCAGAATTAGTATGTTTTTAGCCAAACATATGCTAACTGGTACATACCACGATATGGTGGCTTAAATTGAGAGATTCTCTCCTCCTTTCAGTTTACGTGACAAACAAAGGACTATAGTTGTCCTTCCCTTTGTGTCCATCTGCAGGTGGTCTCTCAGATCTGAATTAATTTTCATCCACTTTTTGTTTGCAGTTTATAGGGTGAAAAACAAGTTATCTCAATTCACGTACATTAGAATAATTTAGAATGTCGGTGATAGATGAATCTAATCTAAGTTTTGGAAAATTAATTAGTGAAGGGATTGTGGCGGATATTACAACCAACAATGAGATGCTAACTTCCCAACTGCTTTCTTGCCTGAGATCCACCATAAATAAACTATAAATGTATGTTGAGTTTGTTTACTTTCCAAGTGACTTGTTGACTGGGGAACAAAAAATAGCCTCAAAATCTTTCTATCTTTTCATTTTGTTTTGTTCTGATTTGGGCCCTCCATATATTATATTTTCCAGGTTACCCCAAATCGGTAAAATAGAAACTTGTATTTTATACGGTCAAAACTTACACATAAATCTCAAAATATAGCACTAGATTTTAAGTTTGCCAAAACTATAACTTTCGGATTAATTGACCACCGAAGTAGCGGATTGGAGAATTGTATATCCAAAGCAGTCGAAACTCTCAAAAAGCCCGAATTCCAATAAAAAAAAACCGCAGTTTTCATTGATTCAACTTATAGTACATGTAATAATTTTGTGCAATATGATGCCTCCCATGCATATGATTTCGAATTAATCTTCCTGAATTTGTTGTTAGCTTATAGCTAGCCAAAGAGAAAGCAAGAGTAATATATTTATGAGAATTATTCTAGCTCTCCTTCATGGATGAGGTTCCTAAATTCAGTTATTGAGTTGAGATAAGTATTATCCCCTCTGCTGAAATGAGAGAGAGAGAGAGAGAGAGAGAGAGAGAGAGAGAGAGAGAGAGAGTCATAATCATGATGAATATTATAGAGAGAGAGAGATGCCCGGGAAAAACTAAGAGAAAGAAACATACAATATGTTACCATTATATAACATAATTAAGTAGGCAAGATCGAAATGCAGGCATCACAAGTAGTAGACTGTAGACTCCTCATCTCATAGCTTGTAAATCTTGGAAAGCGCTTGCAAAGCGTTAACTTGCAACCTCAACTGAAGTATATAGTCGGCGGTTTGAAGAAAAAGCCGGTCTGCCGTCAACCCTCTCCCTCCTGGAATCAACATTTGCAGCTTCTTCACCTTCACTTGCACCGTTGACCTGCGGCCACCACGACCACCCACCTGCCTCTGCCTCTGCCTCTGCCTCCGCCTCCTCCTGATCTTCATCTTCATCCCAGAAGAAGAATGCCCCTTCAACCCATTATAATTACTCATAAAATTATTCATTGTGGGTAGTCTAAGCTGAGTTGTGTGGTGTTTGTGAATAATATTGCTGTAAATGTTTGGTTATAAAAATGAGAGACGGTGGAGGATGGGAAGAGGAGGGGGCTATCTATATATAACGCTCTCTATGCTACAAATGCTGCTTCTAGGCTCTAGCGCTAGCTACTAGCTTAAGCTTATGGAGTGTTTAGGGGGTTCAGTTCAATTCAATACGACGGGGCCATGTGAGCCGAGCCATTCATGTTTTGTTCGTATAATTCGGCTTTTTGGTACTTACGGGTCGGGTCACGCAACCCGCTTTTGAATTTTCTCTCACAAGCACAATTCTTTTGTTGTCGTTTTGCCTATGGGAAACGGCCTCTGGGCCCCACTTTTGTTTTACCCTTCAAAGACCCACGCACGTGTCTGACAGCTCGCTACCCTCTTCCTTCGTATCATTCTCCTCTCTCACACGCTTACAACCGTATCTGTCCCTCCTATCCCCGAATCCCGACAGTTGCCCTCCGCACACGAGTTCGGATCTGATCATCCACGTCTCATTTTTCTGGGCAAACCCCATATGTGACGGCTCATAATCTACCACAGTATTTTGATATCACCCGGGCCCCACTGCAGGAATTTAAAGGTGTTGTCCAACTGGGTTCCAGGAGAGATCTTAGCTGCACCTGCACCTGCACCTGCACCTGCACTTGCACTCGCACTCACGGTGTTTGTATGTGATGCGATCAAATCTTAGTGGATGGGGTCCACTTCATACAACTTGGGAGGGAGGTAGGTTTAATTTAAGCGTTGGATTTAATTTGGTAATAAATTTGCTTTAAGGTGAGATAAATTAGTACAATAATGAAATATTATATAAAAATAAAATATTGGCTGGCAAAGACGGTTTGAATTGAGAAATGTAACCAATGGGAATGGATAATTTCCCCCATAATTTTGTATCATGTAACGTGGTTGGGCCCAATAGGGCATGTTTCCTCCTCTTTGTCTTGGCGATGGATCTTCTTGTTTTCCAAATGGATTATGGTAGATGGGGAAACATAGGTTATGTGAGAAACGATATTTTTCTTCTTAGGTAATGATGATTGAAATCAGCTATCAACGGCAGCAGCAAGCAAGATATTATGGGCACGATCGTTTGCCAACTTATCCAATGTTCCTAATAATGGGAGTAGAATAATTTTATACCAATTGCATTAATAATTTTTCGGAAATAATTTCATATGAAAAATCCGGTAGATTATTATTATACGAATTTGTTGTTTAACGATTTAATAACATAGCATGTTAAATATTTAGTGACGATTATTCTTGTTATATGTATCACTATAATTTTTATGATACTAGCAGATATTATGATGATATTAGGTAGTATAAATATCATTATGAGAGAAGTTGATCGCTAAAATGATAATTGATACATTAAAAGTATAAGATAATGGTTTTTTTTTTCTTCTAGATCAGAGTTTTTAAAAGAGGCTTATGGAAGGAAAATTGCTCAAAACTGCAATTATAGACCCAAAGTGTAAAACCAGCCAAAAACTCTAGCCCTCTCTCTTCTAAAAAACACTCCTAGAGTCGTTTTCACTTTGAGGAGGGAGGAAGCCACTGTTCTTCCTCCCTCTCTTCTTCCCTCATTTTCAAAGACAAAAGGTTTTCCTTATTTGTTTTCGTTTTGTTATGATTTTCCTCCAACCATCATAGGCGGCTGCGTATCGGCGTCTGATCTCTACTTGCGTTTCGAGGTCGGATCTCCACCACTATTTTTTTTGCAGTTTCTTTATGTTTGGAATAAGTCACAGAGACTCTTTGGGTTCTTTGTGTAGTTTCCGTCTTTCCTTTGTGAGAGCTTTTCATTTCTCCTTTGTGAGAGTTTTATTTGTATTGTTATGACTTGGTTTTTTCAAGTTTTATATTTTTTTTAAAAAAATATATTATGAGTTTGTAATCTTAATTGGGATGCCTATGCCAGATTTTCTTCAATCTTGCGTGATCGTTAGCAGAGGTGCACCAGATTGTCTTAATTGATGTTGATTCGCTCCGTTATTATAATGGCCATTTGTGGGTTGGCTGAATTATGAATACAATCTTATAATTTAAAAAAGAAAAAGAAAAAAAAGAAGAGGTTTATGGAATTATATGGGTGCACCTGCATCACACGTAAGTGTATAATATTAATACATGCATCTAGTTGTTATCAATAAATTGTCGAAGTAAAATTAACAAGTGTGCCTAAAGTTTTGAAATGATATAATAAATTAAGCATTATGATTATATCGCATGGATGGATGTTGGCCACTAGTGTGTGTGTGTGTGTACACCAAGGCTGCCCTAGAAAAAAAAGGGTCCCAATTTAGGGGAGCCCCTAAGGATTGCATAAAAACAAATTTGGATGAAAAGAAAAAGTGGCACACAAACTGCTTTTGCTTTAGCATATGTATATATGAGCTAGCGGTCCCCTTATATATACACATGCAGACTCAGAAATTTCCAGGCCCATGCGAGGGTATATATGATGAGGACATAAATGACATCTCCACGTACCTTCACATACATTAATGCAAAATTAAGGCATATGGTATTTTGTGATCATATATATGTACGTACGTTAAGATTTTTGATCAGATATATGTTACATGTGGCGTGGCTCGTCGGTTGAGTTGGGTTGAAGAAAATGATGGGATCGATCGATGGAAGAAATCATATGCATTGTCGCTGACCCAATAATTTAACACATGCATGCTTGCTGGCATCGATGTATATAGTTTATAGGCATGGGTTGGGTTTACAGAGGTTGAAGGGCCATGACAACCTCAAGTGTACGGTTAGCTCCGCCCCTGAAAGACGACATATGCAGGTGTTGGTAGTTGCCGAAACGCCTAAGACGAAGCATATGCATGCGTGCATGCATGCATGAATGGACTGAAAAGTTGTGCAAGAATAAAAGTTATTATGATTTATAGCTACATAAATCACGACCAAAAGCTTTGACTTGCTTTTTGGAGGTCAATTTGGTGGCCGGCTGCCGCTCACGCTGCCACGCACCACCATGTATATGCATGTGGTCATATATCTATCACTCATTGCATTTTGTTACAGATGGATGTTTTTGAGTCACAAAAATATTGTAGAAATGGGGATTTCATGTCATCCTACTGATTTTGCAGAATTAATATTTGTCGCATGTATATGTGTGTGTGCTGCTAACATTGGGCTCACTAATTAATCAAGCGAGCGACAATTAAACGAGTATGAATATGAGGGTGTCTTGATTGACATTGTTAGATAGCAGAAGATCGCTGTGTTGCCGGATGTATAGTTTAATGAACTGTAGACACACCATGTTCCATTGAAACAAGGTTATAAGAGAGAGAGAGAGAGAGAGAGACAGAGATAGAGAGAGAGAGAGAGAGAGAGAGAGAGAGAGAGAGAGAGAGATGATCGAAGACATGTGATGGTGGTAAACTCCGGAAAAACAAAAAACACAAAGCCACATGCAGAGGCGCGATGAGGGTAGGGGACCTCAGACCCAGATAATTATATTACAAACCATATGAGTGTGGTAGGGTACATGTAATATTATTGTAGAAGCTATAGAAGTGTATGGAGACCTAGTTAGCTAGTGGCTTAGAGTGGTTGGTTGAGGGAGAAATACTTCCCTATCTTTGTTTTATTGTCTCGACTTTCTATCTTTATATCTCTCTCCTCCTCTAATAGGTGACGCGAGAAGAGAAATAAAGAGAGACGAAGATAATAAAACGTTGATAGAAAAGTTTCTAGCGAGGGGCTTGAAAAGAGGTTGTTTGTCTAGCAAGAGCTAGCTAGCTAGCTATGTGGCTAGCTTAGAGCATCCACAATGAGCTCCCTAAACCATCTCCTTAGATAAATTTTAGGGAGGAATGATAAAAATGAAACTCTAACCACGCTCTCTATCCACCTCCTAAAATAGGGAGTCCTCTAGGAGCTCCTAAATCTGAAGAGAGAGAAAGGACTCCTAGTGGCTCCCTATAATTTAATGCTGCTTTATTTATTGAGTATTTCAAACATTTATTTAATGTTAACCATTTTTTATTTTATTTTTTAATAGAGATGGACTAATCAAAAAAGAATTATAGCATTTATGACTCTCTAAATTAGGGAGTAAGGTTGGAGTTGAAATTTTTCAGAGAGCTCTTAAAATAGCTTTCTTATATTCTTAGCCAAATTTTAGCTAAGAAATAGAGAGCGTCATTGTGGATGCTCTTAACTTTTGTAGCTTATAACTTAGGGTGATGAGCTGGTTTGATGGGGTAGCCAATGACATTGCCAAAACTGAAAAGTGTGTGATGAAGGATGATTGTATATGTAGGGTGAAATACATATAAAGTGGGTGGTGCCGTTGCAATTTGGTTTCTTCTTAGCTGGACTGGCGTTGTGGTGGGAACGGAACGCACATGCTTGCACATGTACCTCCTCCATTTTCACGTTCTTATTTATGTAGTCCGTTTCTTCTTCTTGTTGTTGTTATGAAGCCCTCCTCTAGAGACTCAGACCCACTTACGCCATGACAACAACCCGACTTTGGCTGCTTGGTTGGTTGGTTTGTGATTTGGTGGTGAAGTTCAGTGCAGGGCATGCATAAGCATATGATATGATCGTTTATTATTATTATTAACCCCATCTCATGTCTGTCCTAATTCTGCAACTCTTTTGGGTTTTTTAGTCTGTTAATTACAGTGCACTGGTCTATTTTTCCCGTTTTGTTCATGTTGGGCCTCATCATTACCTTTCTCACGTCACATATGTAGCGAGATTTTACCTTACCTTACCAAAAAAATATTATATATATATATATAGGCGCGCCGCCTCTATTCACCTCAATTATGATTAATGGATCATCCATATCAATGCCATGTATCAAATCAATTGACGATTTATTATGAGTATCTTAATTGTTATCAGGACTGTTAATTTGTTTGATACATGGGGATTACTAAATGATGTATAATTTGATTGATAAATTTTTTTTTTTGGTATGATGCACAAATGAATGGTTTTAACGGTATGTTTGGGAAGTGCTTTTGGAAGGGCTAGATGCGTTTTTTGACCACCAAAAGCGTTTTTGACAATGTTTAACAAAATGATCTACAATTGCTTATAGGTCATAGAAGCATTTTCTGTGCTTATTCAGGAAGCATTTTCATTTTTTTTAATGAAAGTTTCAACATCTTTATAATAAAAGTATTTATGAGCAGAAGTGCTTTTTAAAGAAGCAGCCCCAAATGATCCTTTATGATATATGCATCGATGATTTGTTAATCCCAACTCAGGTGTAGAAGAAGGTGGGCCTAATTGCTGAGAATATTGTTTAGGCTGTATTAAGACAAAGAACGAACGGCCGAAAAAGAGATAGAAAGAGGCCCAATTCGATGCTTATTTTGCATGGAAGATATGAGTCAACGGCCCAGTTTAGTTCTCTCACTGGACCGCCAAATGTATCCCCCTTGGTGCTCTTTGAACGCCCAATTCTCAAGTTTGCATGCACGGCCAATTCTCTAGTTGAATATAGGACTTTGCTTGGCCATTACGTACAATAAACAATGTAGAAGATTTTCCTTGTTGACCAAGAAGCTAAACTCATTGAAAGTGTTATTATTATTGTTATTATTATTTTTATGTGTTCTTTTTGTCTCTTTAGTCATTAAGAATCAGGGTTCGTCCTGAGATTTTAAGGGCTGTGTCCGAAATTTAAATTGGAGCATTCACATAATCTAATATGAAACTACTAATATCATAAATTAATTTTTAATAACTAAAATTCATCATCAATTAGCATGTAATAACAATCACAAATCAATTTTTTAATGTTTTCATTTGATAAAGTTAAATATTAGTATGTTTGGTTTATAAAAAAAAAAAAAAAGAATTAGGTCCCGCCGAAGCTGCCCTCCTCTTCATTCGAGATAGGGGTTTTCCTCTTCTCCACTGTTGGGGGAACTCCCATCTATCGATACAGGGTTACATATTCTTTTTATGGGAAAGCTTCTAGCTATCGAAAGCTTTTTCAAGCGAAAGAAGAGGACATTAATTTTGTTTTGTTTTAGTTTTGAGTGGAAGAAATTTTATTTTTTTATTTTCCAGGAGAAAGTGTATGTGTGAAGACAGTCCAATCCAAGCCTAGAAGGTGTAACAAACATGCCCTTATGGTTCAGGAGTTGCTGGCCTCGAGTGGAGGGGTTTTGGAATGGCTGGGAACTGTTTTAATTAGCATGGAGGATATGAGCCAACGGCCCAGTTTGGTCCTCTTACTAGACCACCAAATGTATCCGTTGTTGCTCCTTGAACACCCAATTCTCAAGTTTGCATACACGCCAAAATCTCTAGTTGAATATAGGACTTTGCTTGGCCATTACGTAAAATAAACAATGTAGTATATATTTTCTGATTTTCCTTGTTGACCAAGAAAGCTAAACTCATGGAAAGTGTTACTATTATTATTATTTTTATGTGTTCTTCTTGTCTCTTTAGTCATTAGGAACCATGACCGGTCCTGAGATTTTGAGGGCCTTGTGCGAAAATTAAATTGGAGCATTCACATAATCTAATATGAAAATACTATATTTTTTTTAAACCATGACTTAATGTCATAAATCAATTTTTAATAACTAAAATTCATCATCAATTAGAAAGTAATAACAATCACAAATCAAAATACGAATACAATGACAACGCCCCTACTCAAACCTAGGCCTTGTACAAAAGGATATGTGCTAGAAACTAGCTTCACCAAAATACGTTTTTGGGTCAATGTGCTGTACGCTAGAGTATATATAGCTTTTATAATATTAATATATATACTATAAAGTATTTTTTTTTTCTTTTCAGAAACCCTCAAAAATTGGGGACCTTATGCGGTGGCACCACTTGTAGCATAAAAGGATTGCCCTGTTAGAAACCACCTCTCATATTGTTCCGATGAAAAAGAAATCTGATTTTTTTCATTCAACCACAAAAATAAAAGAAACCTATGAATTTTGATATCACTGTGCAGCTTTGATAATGAGAAAAAAAGAAGATTAAAAAAAGACCTGAGTTGTTTAGATTTAGACAGAGAAAGTGAAGAGAGAGAAGGCGAGACTTTCTTAATTTATTTGGTACAGTTTTGTTTTACTTTTATTAATTATTAAAAGATGAAATTTTTTTGTTGGCATTCTAGTTTATTATCAAAATTGTACTACCATACATACACGTTTCACTGTTTTTATTTTCTGAAACTATTTTACAATTAAACTACTAGACATATTCTCAAATATTTTAAATGCAAATTTGTTTTCTGATTTTTATTTTCTGAAACGTTACTAGACGGTCCTTAGTTTTGACTTTGGGTGTCCAGAGAGGAGAGACACCTGAACTCCTCAAAATCAAATCATTCCTAATTTGCTTGATATCCACGCTGGCCCTGAGAATATAAGAAAGAAGGGCCAACCTGTGAGAGGAGGCCCAAACAATATCCATATGCAATTGAGTTCTAAAACCTGGACAGCTGCTTTCTCATTTCTTCTCCGCCGTAACTGCTACAGCAGCTCTTCTTATTCACTCTCAGCTCCTCTTCTTCTTCGTCCTCTTCTTCTGTATAGAAGCAACCACGCCATGGTGCCCCACCCTAAAGACGACACTTATCTCGCCGCCGTAATTCCGAAGCGCATTAAGCTCTTCGAGGCCATCCAGGCCCAACAGCGCGCTCACCTCCAGTCCCTCCCCTCCGATCCCATCAAGTAAGCCCTAAACCCTAAACCCTAACTCAAAGTCTCTGTCTTTCTCTTTGTTTCTGTTTTTTGCTCAAGTATATGTATATATGTCTTGCATTTTGATTCATTTGTGGGGTTTTTTTAGGATAACATTGCCGGGCGGGCAGGAGAAGGAAGGAAAGAGGTGGATAACTTCGCCGTTTGACATTGCCAGGGAGATTTCGAAGAGTTTGGCTTCAAATGCTTTGATTTCTGAGGTCAATGGGGTTCTGTGGGACATGAACAGGCCTTTGGAGGGCGATTGTACGCTTAAGATCTTCAAATTTGAAGACGATGTAGGACGTGATACTTTCTGGCATTCTAGTGCTCACATTCTCGGACAGGTGCAGAGAGTTATTTAAATTGTGGTTTAGTGGATGATATTGGAGATTGATAATGTTTTTGAATTTTGATTACGGTGCAGGCTCTTGAGGTTGAGTATGGATGCAAGCTCTGCATCGGTCCGTGCACTACTAGAGGAGAGGTTCGATTTATCTATCTTTATCCTTGGCTATATTAACATGGTCGTTTACTTTGAGTTTTTGAGTAATTTGACTAGTTTATTATCATTATGTCTTTTCGTTTAATTGCACTACACTACAGCTCTTGCTTCATTATTTGTTATTATATCATTTTTTTTCAATTGGTTTTACTTTCTAGATTATGCTAATTCTGTTTCTTCTAAGACTGTAAATATGTGGATGAAAAGTAATCGAGTCTTGGAGATTATTGCTTTCTGTTACTGTTCTTTGTTAGTTTCTAGTACCCACATTTCAGTAAAAGTTCTTCTTTTTCAATTTCAGTACGCAATGCACCTTTCATGTTTCTGTACTTTTTTTTCCTCTTTGGTTGACCAATATGTTGGGTGGAATTCTATGTGCTTATGTGGTTGTTTTCATGTGTAATTTTATTACTTGGATATTGCAATCTTGTGATCTTAGTCTTGGTGATACATTTGTATAGATATCATTCCATGCTATCAGTTTCTGGATTACTCATTTGGTGGGTCCCTTATGAAATTCAATAACAGGGTTTCTATTATGATGCATTTTATGGTGATTTGGGCTTGAATGATGAACATTTCAAGGAAATTGTATCAGCAGCAGAGAAGGGTGTTAAGGTATTGGTTTTTTTCTCTTTGTAGAAAAGTTAATTTATACTTCTTGTATGGAGGAATTTCTTGCTCATCGACTGACTGTAAATTGATAAGGTGTTTCAACATTTTTCTCTTTCCTGTTGAGATTCCTTGACTGATTGCAGATTCATAAGATGTTCAATATATTGCTCTTTCTTGTTGTAGTTCCTTGACTGGTTGTATCTTTATCCCCAGGACAAACAGCCTTTTGAGCGTATTGAAGTATCAAGGGAACAGGCACTTGAGATTTTTTCTGATAATAAATTCAAGGTAAGTGAAGCTGTTGATTTTGTGTCTTACAGATAAATATGATTTTTATCTGCTTTTCTTGTACGCCTTCCATACTCAAAATCAATTTCAGATATGTTTTTGTTTTCACCAACTGTAATCAGGTTGAAATCATCAATGATCTTCCGGCAGACAAAACTATCACTGTGTATAGATGTGGCCCGTTGGTTGACTTGTGTCGTGGGCCCCATATACCAAATACATCCTTTGTCAAAGCTTTTGCATGTTTGAAGGTATGTGTTTGCACGAAATTTTAGTGATGCAGGTTGTATTTGCATCTTGTTTGCATGTGTTGTGTTGTGTGTATATTTAACCTATGAATATGTAATTTCAGGCGTCTTCAGCGTACTGGAGGGGAAATAAAGATCGTGAAAGTTTACAGAGAGTTTATGGAATATCATATCCGGATAAGAAAAGTTTGCAGGTGTGATATTTTATTTTGACCTTTTATATGGTTTTGGTTTTTCTTATCTGCTTTCTTACCTGTATCAGCCACTTCGGTTAAATTTCTGTCTTGTTAAAATTGGAAGTTCCTTGTATGCATAGATGCACCAGTTCCTCAAATTGTATACAGAAAAAAGAAGTATGGATAATTAATCTCAATCCTAACTCAGAATATAATTTCAGCATAGGATTGGATATAGCTTAGAGAATGCAGTTCAATGAAAGGAAAAAGGTTTTAGATGTGTGAAGGCAAAAGGATGTTGCCTTCTAGTTAACCAAACATCCCTGCATAGTAGAATCTGAAATATTTTGTTGCTATCTTTTAAACTTGAGTCTGGTGGCTCTAGTCCCTCATATGGAAATTCAATTATCAAAGTCAAAATAGGTGGCAGGTTTGATGATATTTATTGAAATTGAGAAGTTGTTAGGTTGTGAATTGTGATATGTTTTTTTATTTTTATTTTTTATACAAGTGATATTCTACTTTAATCTAATCTAAACTACGGGTAGGGGGATTCGAACTTGGGTGCAGAGTGGGGAGCACATCCGCTCTAGCCAACTTGACTAAGCCCATGGTTGAGGTTGTGAGTGGTGATTGAAAAGGAGTGAAAGCTGCTGGACATTGGTCTTGAATTATTTCATTTTCTTACCAACATCTACTTTTTCTGCAGCTATATATCCAGAAGCTTGAAGAAGCAAAAAAATATGACCATAGACTGTTGGGTACAAAGCAGGAGCTCTTTTTCTGTCACCCACTTAGGTATGTTTTGAGCTAATATTTCTTCATTGTATAAGTGATCAAGATTCCCCATGATTTTCATTTGATTATCTCTTCTTGTCAAGTTCAGCCCAGGAAGTTGGTTCTTCCTCCCTAATGGTGCTCGTATATATAAGAAACTAATGACATTTATACAAAATCAATACATAGAGAGAGGCTATCACGAGGTTGGCAGTTAATCTTCAGTTTTTATATCATCCTATTAATCTTAAATCATTTGCACCTAAATTACTTTTCCTTGGTAGGTTATATCACCAAACGTGTACAATATGCAACTTTGGGAAACATCTGGTCATGCTGCAAATTACAAAGAGAATATGTTTGTTTTCGAGGTGAGTTTTGACATTATGCCATTGTGATTATTTATATTGAAACACCTTTATGATTAAACTAGTAAACGAACTGTCAAAGCCAAATTAATAGCAGAAATAAAAATAAGATCAATACACAGATTTGAAAATGTACATTTTATTTATTTACTATTTGTATTTTTGTGTGTATGGATGGATACCAAATATTGGCTACATACATATTAATCTCTTAACAGCTAATCTGGTGCCAACAAAACTTGTCTGATTATTTTCTTGGGAACTTTGTATAGCTGTGGTCATGAAGGGGTCTCTTGCTTGGCTAATAAACAATATGGAAATAATAGTATGGAACTCAATGTAGATGATTAAGATTTTCATTGAGTAGTATTCATGTAAATGAACATGACTATCTTTAAACATGAGACTACTACAGGGTTGTTCAACAAGACGATGCTTAACTTACTGGATATTGCATTTTTGCCTTGCAGATTGAGAAACAGGAATTTGGATTGAAGCCAATGAATTGCCCCGGCCATTGTTTAATGTTTCAACATAGGGTTCGCTCTTATAGAGGTATGCTTTTTAATAAAAATTTCTTGACCTGTTATTCACTTGAATTGCTTAATAGGAAATTCACTGTATAAAGTAGTATTAACACACTTTCCTTGGCCTGACATTTTTGCACTGTACTTTGTCTAACATTTTTGGACCAATACTTTGTCTGACATATTATTTATTTTATTCTAAGCACTTGTGTTTACTTTGTCTGAACTTCGTTCATTTGTGTTTTTTCTTTCGAACCTTGATCACAAAGAACTTCCACTTAGACTGGCTGATTTTGGTGTTTTGCATCGGAATGAGGCCAGTGGTGCACTGACTGGATTAACACGTGTACGGAGATTCCAGCAGGTATACTTTCAATGCCTTTATTTTAGCTTAAACCTAGCTGTTAATTTTCTGACAAGTTTTCGTCCAAACTATGCTACAGGATGATGCTCATATCTTTTGCAGGGAGTCCCAAGTGAGTTGAACTTAATTAAATTGCAGATATTTTTGTTTTTCTTTTTTCTTGGCTTTGTTTTGTTTGTAAGACATATAGTGCTTCTATGTCAGGTAAAAGATGAAGTCAAGGGTGTCTTAGAATTCATCCAGTATACCTATGATATATTTGGCTTCACTTTTGATCTGAAGTTATCAACAGTAAGCTTCTTGATCCTTATGCTTAAAGCATGAACCTTTTGACTTTATTGCCTAAGGATGTGGAATTCAAATTTGATGTGTTGTACAACATTTGTATTGGTGTTTGTGTTGTAGAGGCCAGAAAAATACCTTGGAGACGTGGCAACATGGGAGAAAGCTGAGGCTGCTCTGACAGAAGCACTAAATGAGTCCGGCAAGCCCTGGCAGGTACAACGTTTTTACCTTATGCTTAGCTCAGTCCAAACCAGGTTCAAAACTTGATGAAGCTTAGTAGCCGTGTTTTTAAAATGGTTTAGCTTATTGACCTGAATGGATAGTATTGGACCCGCTAGCCATTTTCTACACCACCCATTCACCATGGACATGAACTAGAATGGGAAATTTTTGTGATTGGTGGATTCTTGTTGTGGTCCATTATCTGTTTTGTGTTTTGTTAAGCAGCACTTTAGGTGCCCCTGACTTTCTTGTTTGTGTCTGGATACTTACTCTGTTAGTTGCCTATACAGTTAAATGAAGGGGATGGTGCATTTTATGGACCAAAGATAGACATCAGTGTATCTGATGCGTTGAACAGAAAATTTCAGTGTGCAACATTACAGGTATCTGATGATCACTTTGTTTCAGTTGCACCTCTTGCTATTTTGTTGTGTTTTGTTTCCGTTTAACACGGTCATTTGAAAAATACTGTTGTTGCAGCTTGATTTTCAGCTTCCTGCTCGCTTTGAGCTGTATTACTCAGCAGAGGGTGAAGAAGGAAAGAGGGAGACACCGGTTATGATACACAGAGCTATTTTAGGTTCTGTTGAGCGTATGTTTGCTATACTGTTGGAGCACTACAAAGGAAAATGGCCCTTCTGGCTTAGTCCACGTCAGGCAATTGTTTGCCCTGTCTCAGACAAATCCCAACCTTATGCTCTGGAGGTAGGTTGATATTATGCTTTCCTTGTTTTTTATTGGCTGCTCACTTTAAGGTTCTAGGAACATTTGTTGTTCCCCTTCAGGAAGTTTGCACTGGAGCAATATAAACAAAATGCTCGAGTGAGATGTACTAAGGGTTACAGTATTATTTAATCTTAAGTCATGGATAAAGCTATTGTTGCAATTTTGTAGGTTCGGAATCGGATCCATCAGGCTGGTTATTATGTTGATGTTGACACAAGTGATAGAACCATCCAGAAAAAGGTAAGAGTTCATAACTTTGTCCTTTGTTGATACTTTCCATTTTTAAGGTTTCATTTTATTTTATTTTCTGGTTTATTGGAGGTCCATTGAGCTATTATGGGTTTCATAACGGGAGCTGGCTCTCTCTCATTATTGGGTTCTGGGGGATAAATGGCAATAAAATTTACTGTTTGATACACTTCATGAATTTTGTTTTCCAGTGACGAACAGTCAGTCACAATTGTTTTCTTTAAGAATCTAGCACCGCTAGTGTCAATTTCTTTGACATGAACTGAAGTATTTAATTGTTCAACCGAGGCTTGTGTCCCAAAGGTTGGTTTCTGTATACTGAATTGTTTTGTCCCTGCAGGTACGAGAAGCCCAGATGGCACAGTACAACTACATTTTAGTTGTTGGTGAAGAGGAAGTCAAAACTGGACAGGTTCTATTCAATTCTAATTCTCTTATTTATTTATGTTGTATTTCCCCCTAGTTGCAGTTGTCCAGCCACAGAAATTATGTGATGCCGTTCAACTTTCGTATATAATTTATGCATCAAGTGGTCCGCTTTGGTTTTTTGCGAAATAGCCTTTTACAAGGCACCGTGACAACAAGAATTGTGACAAGTCAACGTAAAAGAAGAAGAAAGGATTACGTTGAAACCATCCATCAAACAACAAGAGTCACCGCACTGTCTAAGAGCGATCCTCTCGTGTTAGTTATGATGAATTATGCTTTTCCACTGAGAAGTTAATCTTTGATCCGTATTGTTCCAGGTGAGCTTACGGGTTAGAGACAAGGGAGATGTTACCGTAATGAGCATGGAAAATCTACTTCAACATTTCAAGGCCGAAGTTGAAGCTTTCCATTAGGATTTTGCTCTTTGAAAAATGCTCAAAGCAATCTTGGACTTCTACCCAGATGGACAAAACATATTTGTGATCCCAACTGGAAATTACCTGTTAATTCCTGCCACCACGTCATGTACTTTTGGTTTACTGTTTGTTTTGTTTTGGGATTCAATGTAGGTTAAGAACTCTGTTGTTAAATCATCAAGATAAAAGGATTTTTTCAGATTGACAAAAAATTGGCGTGTCTCTAGTGTTGTTTGCTTTAGCTTTTGTACGATGCACCGAACCTTGACATGGAAAACTTCTGACTGTCGTACTTGAATTAGGCGCTGAGCTTTTCTGCAATTGACATGCGATTCATTTTATTTGAAAGAAAGAAAAGCTGTGTACGAGTATAAAGTGTATGGTACTGATTTCAATTTCAATTTATGGAATGAGATTGAATTGGTGCTTTCTAGGCACTTGCTGTCTGCACCGCACGTTTTCCTACACCACGCTTCTACACAAGTGACAAACGCACTAACTAAGCTCTGTCTAGAGCTTTTTGTTTTTCTGGCCCAAAAAAAAGGCTCTAATTTAATTTTTTTTTTTACCATTAAGGGTCGTGACTCGTATTATACACATAATTCGATTGTTTTTTCCATGATGAAATGTATGAAGTGTAGGCCCAGGCATTTGATGTGCTTTCAAGTGGTATTGAATTTAAACCCTCATGGTACCCGTATGCGTCGAGTTTCCCCTACCTAACTTTGACAAAATAATAATAGGGTTCCTTATATAAAAAAATAAAATGTGATGCATAAGTTTTAGTACCTCTCCTCAACATGACAGGGTTCGGTTAACTTCTTTTACAACCCAAATAATTTCCAAGAAACCACGGCCTCTGGACTCTATATATCATCTCCTCAGGCGCTCTTTAAAAGATTACAATATGGAGTGCGAATTCAGGGATTTAATACTAATGAATGCATTTGTTGTTTTACCATTCTTTACTCAAATTAAAGAAAAAAAAGATAAAAAATTATATCAGCTATATTGTCCAAAAGAATTTTTTAAGTTTCTTTTTTCCCACAATTATCTATCTATCATAAATATATTTCCTCTTGCAGTTATCCTATTTTCAGCAAGCCTTTGACTCGTCATTTCCAACGAAGGAAACATGTGCATTCATAAGAGCAACAACACATTACAGTGTAATACGCGAGAGAGAGAGAGAGAGAGAGAGAGAGAGAGAGAGATTGCTAGCAATGTTAGAAACCAATCCTCGATCCTTCTACAATATATAATTAAGCTAAGGACAAAATAAATAACACTATTAATTAATTGCTTAATCAATTATTAGTAATATTAGTTCTGATCTTAGCTAGTGGTGATGGAAATGGTGTTGTTGACGAGCATAAGCAGACATAGAAGTGCTAGTCTCACCCACGTTGTTTTGATGATCTGATGCCCTATTATTATTATTATTATTATACTCTTCATTATGATCATCAGTCTCCCCCTTGGCCACCAACTTCTGCTCCGTGATTGCCATGAAATCGAGCGGTCCATGGGATAACATAAATTGGGACCCTTGATGATCATGTTCTTGCGGCTGCTGCAGCTGATCATGATTTGATGGTGCAGAGGGCACGACTGAAGGAAGCTTTGAGAGGAGGGCTTCAAGGCTGCTCATGGAGGGTGTTATGTTTTTCAATGGAACTGCTTGGTTGTTGAGATATTGGTGGTGGTGATCATACATGAATTCATGAGTTGGAGTGCCTGCTTGGAAATGCCATGCATGATGATGATCTGGGGTGGGACCATATGCATAGCCATGATGATGATGATGATTATCAACCTTGTAGGGGAAGGGTGGAGATGATGGGTGTGGCAGAAGCACCCCTGGGATGCTTTCAATGTAGCTGAACTTCTTTCTTAGCAGAACTACATAGCTCAAATCTTCAACCACCTGCAGGATTTATAAACATTATTGATCAATGGCATACATACATGTTGAACTAGTTTCTAGAGAGAGAGAGAGAGAGAGAGTATCTCTCACCTTGTGAGTAGCTCCTAACTGAACAACACCTTCTCTAACTGCTATAAGGGCTATGGTCTGCAACATATTTGAATCAAATTAATAAATAAATAAAAACAAATCTATGTGAAATTTTGGACTTTTTGAGGTGGATTTTGATGCTATATACCTTTATGCCAGACTGGAACTGGGCTTCCCATGTCCTAGGGTGCTGAAGGAAAGGAAAAAAAAGAAGAAAAAACCTAAGAAAACAGACAGATCGATGTTTTGCAAAGAAAAACTAGGGTATAAATATAAAGTAGCGCCTGCAGTTAGTATATGTAGCATGAAATCACGAAGTTAATTATATATATAAGCATTGATCAGGAGCAATCATACCGAGTCAGCTGAGTTGTGCCAGGCAGATAAGAAGTTGATTTCTTGATCATTTGGTTCTTTGTGTATCCACTTATGACTATGATCTGCAGCCACTTTCCCTATCAACCTGCCCAACCCCCAACACAACATTAATAAATAAATATTTCTCAACTAATTGCTTTGCTTCCTGTGTGTTCTTTCTTAGAGCTCAGTGAGTACTATATCCACACACACACAAACAAAAAATCAAAGTCAGCAATTTGGTAATTAATTTCTTGATATCGTCATCATTGCTATATAGCTTTTACCCTTCTCCGTAGTTGTAGATTTCATGGGACATCTTGAAGAAAAGCTCTGGTTGCAGGCCATTGTATTGTTGAAATTCACAGTTGCCATACATTGATGACGAAGGGCCTGCAGGACAATCAGAACTGGAGTTGACCTCATGAGCTGTTGAGGAGGCACCAAAGTTGCAGAAACCATCTTCCCAAACCAATATCCTGCCATGTGCATATATAGTATATACATACATATATATAATAAGCCAGAACATCATTTGCAGAAATCCATTTTACTATGAAACTAGAACATCATTATATACCAGTTCCTTCTGTTCCCTCTTGACCTGTCATAAGCTCCATGACCTTCCCATCTGTTACAAAACCAAAATTGTTAATGAAAATTATAATATACACTAAGCTTTTTGTGAACCTGTACTTTATACTTTGAAGAAAAACAAGTAAAGAATCTTTTTATTTTTATTTTTATAATTTTTAAAATTTGGCAAAGTTGTTGTTTTCTTTTTATTTCCTTACTTGGGTGGTGGGTAGTTTCTAGGCAGGATCCTCCAGAAGACGGCGTAAATCCACTGAGAGTTTTCATGAATGCACAAGCTTCTCAGGGTGTGTTGAAGCAGATGAGTCACAGCTAAGGGGTTCAGATGTTCTTCCATCTCTTGGGAGTATCTCTCAATGTTTTCTCTACCTTTTTTTGTTTTCAATTTCTCCTCTTCCAATCTTCACCCATCGTCCTTTATATAATAAGCCTACCAACATGTTCATCTCTCATTTATACCCCCCCCCCCCCTCTCTCTCTCTCTCTCAGAGTGTGGAAGACTACTGGAAGTAAAATAACATTTTCTTCAACTTTTTTTTTACCGAAGTGTTTCCTGAGGCCCCACCTTGTCTTTCTTTCAACCCTTCATTCAAAACTACTATTAAAATTTTATTTTATTTTCTTGGTTAAGTCCTACCTCATGATCCCAATTATGTTATTATATCAGAGAAACGACCAAACCTTAGTTTTCTCAGACTAAATGATGGCAAGTATTGAGTAGCTAGCTCCCCTTCTTTCTCTCCAATCCCCAATGGTATTATTATCATTCTGACTTTCTGACGCACTTACCATTTGGTGTTCCCACTCTCATTTCAGTCCCATGAAAAACTTTCTTACCCTCGACCTTCAACACTGCACCGCCATCAAGCTTAGTTATTGAAGCATGTTATAAAATTAACCAAAGATTGTTTGATGACCAACGAAATATACATAAACAAATAAAGGGTTCTTCCAATTTCTGATTTTCCTGTGGTGTTGAGGAAGGCACTGTATTTGTGTACGTATTTTTCTGCTGGTGTACGATAGATAGATATCTTGTTCAGTAAAAAACAATGGGTGCTAGCTATCATTTAGGTTCGAGAAACATTAGCCCATAATACGTACAGAGTTGCAGTTCGTATAGTAGTACTTGATATTGATGCCCTACTCCTGCCACTTCATAATAATTGCACTTTCCCAATTACAAAGAGGGTCAGCCAGCCATTATTAAGCATTTGCAGATAATAATGTGGAAAAAAGCTGCTTTCTTTCTGGTTGCTGCCATAGAGTTTAAAGAGCGCTTCTCTTAGTCTTTTAGCCCTCACTGAGATAAAGCCATGTTACATATATAAAATGCTGATCGACTATATTGCATTCATTAATTATAAGTTATAACCATGCATCGATTTCAATCTCTATATTTCTCTCTCTCTCTCTCTCTCTCTCTCTTCTGTGAACAACATGATGACCAAGAGGAGCTATCAGTGATTTCATTTCCTCACCCTCTCTCCCTGACACCAAGGAAAATATTGACAGAAAATTATACTGTCCCTTTGACCGTCCTTTTCTTTTTTACAAGAAAGAAACCGTCGTCTCATTATAACACCGTGTAGTAAATGTATGCATCAGTGTAATTTACAGGATATATAGCCAAACATTTGTCACCTTCATTGCTAGCCTTGATAGTGACACACATTGCTATCTCCATAATTTTCCCTTTGGATTCTTGTTACCAAGGCCAACCCCATCCATGTCTCTACTCAATGAGAGAGAGAGAGAGAGAGAGAGAGAGAGAGAGTGGGGTGTTATAATTCATAAATGGGTTCTGTTATATTGTAGTTTTTGGGATCTTATAATGCATGAATTCACGATCCCTTTGGCAGAGTAAAATATTAATATTGGGAGACAAAGTCTGATGGTGGTGATGTAAGCAAAAGGAGTGTGTTTTGGGGCAACTATTGAATGAGCTTTGGATTTTATTGGTGCTGGTGATGGTTCTGGTCTACACTTTATATTGTTGTTTTGTTGATTTTTGAAAAAGCACTTCCAAAAATTGATATTGGAGAAGTTGGTATGGAAGCAAAGAATGGCTCAAGATAGATACCAGTGGTCAAAGATTATTGGTGTTGAAATTTGGCCCATCCCTTTCTCCCCATTAACAAGTGGAATCTGTGCTCTTCCCATCCCCCATCCCTTTTTGAATCCCATTTGATATATTTAAATCTCTCAATGTAATGCAAATTATTAATTAACAAATGGGGTTGCTTTGTGAAAATGTATAGTGATAATCAGACAATATGAGACAGTATCTACTAATGCTCACTCTAAGGCAGGCATATGATCTTCTTCTTCTCTCCCACCGCACAACTTTAGCATATGATATAAATATAGGAGCAGAGAATGGCAGGGGATCAATGTAATTTGATATTGTTTTGGAATGTTTGATATTGTATTATAATTCAGATGATGGGCTGTTGCGTTGGGTGGATTGCCTCTCTTGTCTTAAAGAAGCAGAAACACTAAATGCTCCTCAGTTATTTGGTTTTGTTAGAAAGGGTTGGTTATTAGCTTCTCTAGCTCTACTGTGAATTTGTGATGAATGTCCAAAAATCTAAATTTCAGTGTTTCTTGGAGTGATGAAATCTCTTATCCACTTAACAAGATGATTTGTTCTCACACTCATATAAAAATGGCATCCACATTTCCCAACATGCATGTGTCACAACAATACGGTGAGTTTAATTCTTTTTCTAGCAAGGCTTTGGTCCATGTTTTTCAAAGTGAGAGGTGCCTTTTGTTTTCTGCACAATTAATAATTTCTAATACAAAGCGATATCAGGAGGAGGAACCGAACCTAAGATGAAGGAAACTATACATGATTAGGGTGTGCCATAATATCCAGAGGGGAAAAAACTCAAATAAGTCCAGAGTGGAGGGGTTTTTAGGCTGTGACAGAAGTTGATCAAATGCATGAAGATACTGGGAATTCTTTACCCTAACATAGAAAACTCCAAGGCAATCACGTGAAGGCATTGCCAGTGACAATTTTGGGCTATAAAAAAAGCTGTGTGTACAAGTCCATAACGAAAAGGAAAAGGGAAGAGATTAAAGAAAGATATCCCTTTTCTGGGTAGCTTTTGCAACCTTTTCATTGCTGTAAAATTGAGCCTGTCTTTCAAAGACAAAATATTCTTGGCTCCCACACACACACCACACCCAACTTTTACATGTCATCAGTGTTGCAAAAACCCATCCCATATATGGTATCAAAAAGTGGTCGTAAGCTCAAACCTGCAATCAAAAGATGGAAGATGCTCTTTCATTCTGGACCGTCCATCACAAGGGAAGGGACCAAATAATCAAAGGTGTAGAGACAGTAGAATATACATCAGATATTGCATTAGGCATGTGCCTCTGCTCTGTTAAGAAGGTAAAATTTCTGGTGGAAAAAAAAGAAATATAATGGTGCAAGTTCTTGTTCTTGTATGTCTTCACAAAGGGTCGAATATAATTAGTTCTTTGAGGGGGGAAAAAAATAGGAAAATGAAAACATTCAAACATGATCATTGGTGCTGCTGTGAAAGTCAGAGAAAGATACCCAATGTTTGCTTTTGTACTTGAAAGAATGGAAAATGATTTTTCATCACACTCTCTTTGAAGTCTGAAGCTTGGTCAATCTAGTGGACGATCCATATGAGGATCCACCTACCGTTATTGTGAGATACAGATGCTCTACACATAATATATAATTCAATCTTTGAGGGGACTTGTAAAGATTTTTTCTCCAACGCTCGTTCATAATCATCACCATCCCTTTCACTATCAGCATGCATCAGCATCAAAATTAAAGTGCCACTGGACAACCAAGACACAACTAATATAATATATATATATATACTGGTCCATTTATAAGCTGTAAGCAATGTGACATCGTGATGTCTTTTAAGGAAAAAAAAATTCTTCTAAGGGGAATAGCTTATTTCTAGCCAATAACATATAATGACACGTTGAAAAGTTATCTTACTTGTCAGTGTGTGTTATTGGTCCGAAATAACGAAAAGTATTATCCCTATTATATGAGAGTTTTTCTCGTCCTTGAGGGTCCTAATTGATTAATTTCATTATTCACTTTGCAAAACATGTCATCTCATATGCATTAATTAATTGATTAATAGGAAACTTTTGTCAATATTACCCGCTTAAGTTGACATTATAAATATAGGCTTTGGTTGATGGAAACATGCATGTACATAATCTTGTGTACTTTTAGGAGAAGGAATTAGGGGGACAATTAGATTATGCTAATCATTGGATATGATCAATTAATGATAAATTAGTTATGTTGTTATACATATATAGACAAAGTGTTAACAAGGGTTAAGTGAGATACATGCATGGATCGCCATGATTGCACTCAATTGAGTGGGGTTTGAAGGGATGATGCTAGCTTCTTTGGTTAACAGAAGGATGAAAGGGACTAACAATCATAGAGAGATAGAATTGGCATCTAAAGCTCTGCAGTTGAGGACACCATGACTAAGATATGTGGGACATACATGGAGAGATAGGGACTTGATCAAATCACACAGAAGCTGCCTCCTCATCCCTTTTCTTCTCAATCACCAAAACCCTCTCTTTTTCTCCCTCATTTGTGCCCACATGGAGACTTATCAAATCAAACACAATTAACCTTCCAATGCATTCTCATGGTAATTAATTCATCTAACAAATCAAAGACAGGTTGAGATTTTATACACCAAGTGATTACATGTAAAAAAGAAAAAAAAAGTCTGCTCTGCTACAGCTACCATGCATATCTTGATTAATATTGCTATAGTATTTTTGACTTATTGAAGCTCTCTTTACAGTTGGCATGACACACATAAAAACATGGCCATAGTGAAGTGAGATGCTCGTTGTTCTCTACTTTGAAAAAGAAGCAGAACATAAAGATATAATTTTTTTGGCCTACATTATGCAGTAACAACCGAAGCATGGATTTTTCTTTAGGTGTTCAAATTGGACTAAATTCTTGTTTTTCCTATCAAAGTACTATTGACCACTTTTTTTTTATTGTCAATCTTTACAGAATAAACATAAACACGAGACATGTTTACCTGCATCATTTGCAAACAAGTTTACCAAATGAACAAAGAAACATGATGCATGTAACTCAAGAAAGAGAAAAAAAAAGAAAACATGATACATGTTTTTTAAAAAATGGTTGCATGTTGAGTTTGTTTGTGGTAGGTGCCTGCCTTGCAGATGCTCTTATCCAGTTAGGCCGCTAAGTTTGTACTGTGTGGGGCATGGACCAAAGCAACTAAAATATGATCCCACATCCTCCCAAGTCTCAACAATCCCCATTCTAGATTGTCCACCTTATGGCCCCGTTTCTTTGGACTATACGCCTGGGTAGGTTACAGTCAATTCCCAATCTTCTGAGACTTTGATGATATAGGGTTTACGGCTGACGGATGGTTTAAAATGTAGGTTTCTGGGAGTTTGTGTATTCGTTTATAAATAATTGATAGTTTGCGTGTATGAATCTGAAAATACGCTTCTCATTTTACTTCACTTCAAAGTTAATGTTCATATTTTCTTTTGGATTGAAGGAAGTACCATGACACCACTTTCATCATGTACCAATATTTTGATTGTTTTTGAATAATGGTTAAAGCTTTTGTACTGGTTTCGGGAGAAAACAACATTTAATTATGGAGGAATGGAGATCCAGTGATATGCCACTATCAAAGCCCTCAAAGGGCCCCTCATATTGTACGTTTGCTCTCTCTCTCTTTGAAGCTTTTTTTTTCTTCCTTTATTTGCGTCTGTCAGTGAATGAAACAAGGGGGGAGGTAATTGGTACTAGCAGCCAATGGCTTGCATTGACTTGTCCTTCTCTGTGCCTTTGCTAGTGCTTGCAAATATCAGAACCAAATTTTTTTCAGAGACTTATTGATCGTAGAATATTTGAGAATGATCAAGAATTAAAAGGGTTAATTTATCTTCTTATTGTGCATTTTAATTTATCTTCTTATTGTGCATTTTCCTGAAGTTTTTTTCTTAACCAAAGGCAGAAGTTAATTGATTCAAATAGATGCACGTCCTTACCAAGTTTGCCTATATTTGAACACCGACTCAAATGTCCTTTTCTCATTTTATCGTGTCTATTTTCTTTTCCAAGTTCTAGGCAGACAGGGACAATGTCCAAAAATTACTGCTTTTTTGGCAATCTTGTATTAGACTAATATCAAAAGCTCCAGAACCTAATTTGCTCTAAGGGGAGATTTTCCGGCCTACTTTACTGATGGGCACAGTACAATATGAACTTTAGAGTGTGTGGAATTTTATGCATTAGAGTCAAATTGAGGCATGATTCATGTGGCTTTTCCTCTCCAAAATAATTGCTCCCTCCCTCCCTCCCTCCCTCCCTCCAATTATTTCAAGTAAGCATTGACATCACCATATCATCATTGCCAAATGCCTGCAGCAACCCCCACTTCAGTATAGAAATGCAACATGGAGAGACACATGCATACATACATGCATACATGCATGCACACATACTACGTACGCCTGGCATGTTCCAATAGGAGGGCCGAGATCACATTCATTAAGGTTGTGACCTTAAAAAAACAGCTGGAGAAGCAGTGAGTATGTTGATGATAAGTAACCCATCAGAGAGACCACCAGGGAGCTAAGCTGCAGAGAAGAGCCCCCAAAGTGGTCATTGTCGATTTGTCATTCAAACCGAACTATAGGACCACCAGATGGAAGAACTATGTTCTATTGGTCCACTGCCTAAGCATACAACTGACTTGCATAAGTTCAACCAGACTCACATTCATCCTATGTGGTAAATAGGTCCAAATTTCAACACATAAAGGTGCTCGCATGCTGCTTCTTGTTGTTGTTGGTTTTTGTTTCTTAATTTTTTGGCCAAAGTTAGAAAGCGGGAGGGGATTTTTCTTACACACATATTGACAAGGTGCCATAGAGATGTGAATCTAAGACCACTGATCATCAAATCAAGACCATTTTTCATTGGGTTAGACCCGTTGCTTTTGGACTGTATGATCGACCCCGCCGCAAACTAGAACAGTAATGCCCTTAATTTGGCATTAGAAACACAAAAAGAATGATTACTAATCAGATTTTATACTCCTTGCTTATAAAATTTGAAAAAAATTAGGAATTTTATTTTTACACTTACCAAGTTGGACCATGCAGACGCAGAGAGCTGCCCTTGAGGGTTGATTGTTGCATCTCTGTGGCCTTCCAATCAGCCCTTCCTACTGCAGGGGAAAGACCCAAAAGTTGGGAAACTAAAAAGGCTTTGAATACTGAGAATCTGATCGCTAAAGGCTTGGATTTACAGACTAGCAGCCGCCATCATGGTAGCAGGAAAATATTAAACAAGTTCATGGGCCACTCTAGATAAAGGGAAAAACTTTCCAGCAAGCAAATAAACATGGTCTCAGTTAAATTTAAACTAAGGCCTCTTGTTGCGAATGCTTTCATGGGCAAAGCCCAAGAAGAAGAGAAGATGGTCCAACAAACACAGCTACTATCTTTCTCTGAGCCACAAAACAACAGAAAGAAATATATCGTCACGTCTCTCATAATTTTCTCTGTTTTTTATATTTTAATAGCGAAAAAAAGAACACTATGATGATCATGAGGTAACATCATTCGAATTTTAATCTGTTACCGCACAAACAGAACATCACATCTCAAACTCCAATCCAAGCCATTGTTCGAGTGCGATTGGTCGAGCATTTAATCACACCTTTGTTGTTTACCAATTATATATAGGTGGTCCATACTCAACCGATATAATTGGTAAACAGTTAATGTCATCATTTCTTGTATACTCAACAACCTAATTCAATCGACCCACAAAAGTAAAATATGATCGTATGTTATGATTGAATTATTGATCTATTGAGCAAGTGGGAACGAGAAGCAAGCATGCATACAGAGGAAGCAGGGCACAGAAGCAAGCAGCAATGTTGGGTTTAAAATCAGTAACAGTGATCATGGTGATGGTGGAGTTTTTGGATGTGGGGTTGAACATTTTGAGCAAAGCAGCTATGAAGAAAGGGATGAGTGATTTTGTCTTTGTTGTCTATGCGAATGCCCTCGCCCTCTTTGTCTTGCTTCCATCTTCCTTCTTCTTCTACAGGTTTTAATCTCATCCAATTAATTACCCAATAACCCTTCTTTTAATTTTTAGTTTTAATGAAGTAGTTAATTATTTATTTCTGCAGAAGAAGAACTTATCCACCTCTCTCATGGTCCTTCATCTGTAAACTGTTCCTTGTTAGCTTTATGAGGTAGCTTAAACTTAGTCATCTCTGCTGATCTATTTTACTATATATTTTGGTTAATCGTGTTTAAATTTGTTTGAACATGATTTCTAGCTCTAGTGCGCAGCTGCTAAGGTTTATTGGGATAAACTACAGCTCTCCAACTATGGCCTCTGCAATGATTGATCTCATGCCAGCTTTTACCTTCATTCTTGCTGTCATCACTGGGTAAATATACAGTGGCTGTCCCAAATTGATGAATATATATATATATATATATATATATATATATATATATATTTTATAATAAAAAATATGTTTTGGCTTTTTAGGATGGAAATTCTGGATTTGAGAATTACCAGTAGACAGGCCAAGTGCATAGGCACAGTGGTCTCAATCTCAGGGGCACTCATGCTGACCTTATATAAAGGCCTACCACTCATAAGGGCTGATGCATCACATAATAAATTAATCAGTCTGCAGCTTCTTTTATCCTCTCAAACGAACTGGTTCATTGGAGGCATTGTGCTTGCATTTCAAAGCTTTTTGCTAGCAATGATGCATATTACAGAGGTAATTTAAAATCCTGTGCTCACATCAAAACCACCTCTTAATTGCATAATTTCAAAGCTTTTTTGATTTTTTTATCTGCAGACATGGGTTATTAGGGACTACCCTGCAGTGCTGATGGTTACAACGATTCGGTGCATCTTTGTGACCATCCAATCTGCTGCAATTTCTCTGATTACTGTCAAAGGACTAAATGCATGGAAGCTAAAGCCTGACATTGAACTCATAGCTATTGGGTACAATGTGAGGGTTGATCTGTTTCAACTTTATAGGCTTAGTTTCCCTTTGATTTTCAACCAAACTTTATGGTGCTGCTTAATTGATTTCTAGGCAACTTTTGAAGTAATGCTAAGGGCTGGTATTCATTTGTGGGCATTGAACATAAAGGGTCCTGTTTATGTTGCCATGTTCAAGCCGCTTGGTTTAGTCATGGCACTTTTCGTTGGCGTGGCATTTCTTGGAGATACTCTTTATCTTGGAAGGTAAAGATTATCTGTTATAATTCTCACATACTCTGCTACCTGCTACCTAATTAACCATGTTTTATTCACCGACCCAGAAAATAAAAAACCATGTTTTATTGCGTTTTTTTTAAAGGTTGCTGGGAGCGGCTATAACAGTGGTAGGGTTCTATGCCGTAATTTGGGGGAAAGCCCAAGAAGAGAAGGAGAAGGCTCAAAATGATCAAACCGGAAGCTTTGAGTCATTTCCTCAATCAGAAGCAGAACCTCTTTTGCCTAAACATTGTAAACAAGGCACTGAGGAGAAAAGTCTTGCACGCCATCAGTTGTCAAGATCTTGATGATGACTTCGACTTCAAAAAAAAGAAGAAGAAGCTCTTGATGACTTTCGGAAGGAGTTTTTCTTATTAAATAGTTGAGATGATATGTTGTCAAACCACAAAAAATTCTATTTTTTTTATTTGATATAAGAGATAACGAAGTAAGTAGAATCGAACACAATATGCATGTGTAACTATTTGATATAAGAGATAATGAAGTAAGTAGAATCGATCACAATATGTGTAACGTGGATAAGTAAACATTCTAGTAGTAACAAAAAAATTGGAATAAAGTCCAACTTCTATTGGAGTGAGGTGAAATTGTGGTACAAGAATAAGGTTCCACTTTAATTATGGTTTGGCATATTTCATTTTCCCTTTCTTTCTAAGAGCATCTCCAACCGATGTGTTAAAAGTGCCACATAGACATTTAACTGTTAGAAATAATATCTCACATCACTCCAACCGATGTGTCAAAGCTGATATGGAATGAAGGCTGGAGGTTGAGATGTTATTTTTGACATCCCAAAAGCAAGATGTCAAATGAATATTTTATTATTTTTAAAGATAGTTGTTTGTTACTTTCATTTATTATTTTCGTTTTTATATTTTTTTTTCTTCTTTATCTTAAATGATTTGACTGTTACAATAATTATTTATTTGACATATCGGGTGGAGTGTAAAACTATGTAAATGTTAAATTGCCACATTAGCCATCAAATTTAAATTTGATGTTTGATATTTGACATCTCCCTTGGAGATGCTCTAAGATTTGTAAGTAGGGCCTCTTTGCTAAATTTATTCTCGGCTTAAAATGTTGTATGACAATCAACCAGTGTGGTCATCTTTCAAAATCTTGATATCCAAAGACAACTTTATAGATTCTTTTTATAAAAAATCTTTTGAGCATCCATATTACATACATTATACAAATAATACTAGCGACACCAGTGACGTTGCAGTTTGTTTCATGCAAAGGCTCATTCCAGATTTTATTTATTCTTTCTCAGTAATTAAGAAATTACTATATCAATTGATAACTAAAAGTTAATAGATTTGCAAAAGACTGTGAGAGCATTTCCAACATATATATCAAATTGCCACATGCGCATGAAATAACAAAAATTGAAAATTAAAGTTGCTCCAACCTGATAACTGTATTGTCCAGATCAGCTTAAGATTGTTTGAATAGCACATGGAGGTCATGTGTTCTAGTTAGAATTGTTAGTAGAATCTGTTAGGTTGTTAAGCTGAGTTTACTTAGTCTCTAAGTCTGTTATCAAGTATATAAGTTTAGCTTTACATTGTAATCATTACTTAATCAAGATCAATACAAAATTCTGAGTTCTTTCTCTGCTTTATTCTTCAATCTTCTCTACTGTTATCACAATCAAGTAGTCAAATCTTACATGGATTTAAAGGTTTAAAGAGAGATGTCAAAAATAACATATCGATCAAAAAGCTTGATGTCAAATGTTATTTTAATATTTTTTTAGTCATGGACCCCACTATATTTTTTTTTAAAATGTCAAGTTGCCACATAAGTCATCAAATTCAAATTTAACATTTTGCATTTCACATCACCCGTAGACATGCTCTAAGTAGTGGTTTGGAAGCAATTGCTTTCCTCAAGAAATGTTCTGAGTTCAAGTCCTAGCATCCGTGTAATGTGTGAGTTTAATATGCTATCACTCCTTTCAATAGGAAAGTTTCTCAAAAAAGGTTAATAGGTGTAGTACTATTGATAAACCAGTTAGGATCATATCCGAACTAAAATAAAAACGTTGGGCCATTGGCCTTTACCTTTCATATATAGGGCATAGAGCAAGCAAGCAAGAAAGCAAGCCCATGAGAGGGAGGGGGAGTAGAGAGGGAGAAATGTGTCACTGCTTGAATGGAAGTATAATATCATTCATGTATAGTTTCTGTTTTAAACATCTAACCGTATTGAACATGAAAAATTAAGACATTTGCATTATTTCTGCATAACACCAGATAACATATGCTCTTCTATCAGATGTCGCTCAATTTTCTTGGGCCTGAAATCAATTCTTGACTAATTTAATGCTAGAAAATATACCATGCTTGGCTTCAGTTTCATGCTTCCACCTTTGTGGCTGCGACTCTTATGTTCCTGCCCTACTTTGAGAGAGAGAGAGAGAGAGAGAGAGAGAGAGAGTTGCATATGTGGACGAGAATTTTAATGCCTTTTGTGGGAATGGTGATGGTGATTCTTGCTCAGGTGACTGGTTTGATAAGGAAGCCATGTTCAACCGTTCTTGTTGTCTACTCTAATGCTTTAGCCGTTCTCACTCTTATCTCTCCTTTCTTATTCCTCAACAGGTCTCTGCTTTTTCTCTATTTAAATTGATTTACTTAACTGTCTCTTTATTTAATGAATATTAGAGCTTCCTCCACTCAGCTTCTTCTTATTCGGCCTTGTTGGGTTTGTTAAAAATGTTGACGTGAGTTAACCTACTAAATTAAGGAGGTTTATTTTTTAAGTTAATTAGGTGATTTACTTCCTTGTTTTATATAGTTGACATATCCTTGTATAATTAGGAGATATTCTTCTAATTAATTACTGTATCTATTTCCTTGTACAATACCCTTATAAACTCCTATCTATACTTCCTTATGGAGAAGAATACAATTAACTTAAAGTATTCAAACAAAATATCATATTTTAGCATGGTATCAGAGGAATTGATCCTAGGTTTTCTCTAAGCCTTCAAATCATATCGTCAAATTCAAACCCAAACCTTAAATCAAATTCCTTACATCTCAAATCAAATCCTCTTATCAAACCTTAGACCATAACTTGTTGGCTCTTGCATAACTTACTATTAGTATGGGGTGTACTGTAACATTTTGGCCGAATCATTGTGTTTTTTAGGACATCTTCACGAGGAAGACGATTGGTTGTGGTATTAGGTTGGGCAAACTCTACTACTTGGACTGGACACCAGATAGTGAGACCAAAGTTGGTTAAACTTTCACAAAAAATGGATCTAGTTATGAGATGCAGAGAGACAAAATTTGGTTATGGCATAAACGTTTTGGGCATGCTTCGTTCAGTTATATGAAGAAGCTGTTTCCACAATTATTTTTCAGTTTTGATATTTCCAGCTTCCAATGTGATATGTGTGAATTGGCTAAGAGCCATCGTATTTCGTTCTCGTTAAGTACAAATAAAAGATTGGTTCTCTTTTTCCTTATTCATTATGATGTTTGGGGCCCTCCTCAAATCGCTACTCCAGCTGGAGCTCGATGGTTTGTCACTTTCATTGATGACTGCACCCGAATGACCTGGGTTTCCCTTCTCAAAACCAAAGGAAAAGTTAGTTTAACGTTTCAACAGTTCCACAAAATGGTGGCGACTCAGTTTCATGCCCAAATCCAGGTTCTCTGTTCTGTTAATGGCGGAGAATTTCTTAATCATGATCTCAAAAAATTCTTATAGGATCATGACATCATACATCAACGTTCACGTCCATATACTCCCCATCAAAATAAGGTGGTTGAGCGAAAGAACCGACATTTATTGGAAGTCGTTTGTGCATCTTTATTTGTACATTTATTGGAAGTCGTTCGTGCATTGTTCGTGCATAAATAGGATTCCCTCAATTATCTTGAATTTCCAAACTCCTTTTCAAACACTTCACCACCATCTTCAAATATCTCCCACCCCAAACCTTGACCCACGTATTTTCGGCTGTGTTGTACTCGTACACTTACATGATCACCAACACAACAAATTGGATCCCCGCGCAGAAAAGTGTGTTTGCATTGGCTATGCCCTTCATCAGAAAGACTATCGATGTTATCACCCTCCAAGTCAGAAGGTTTATATCTCCACGGATGTAGTGTTCCAGGATCATGACATATATTTTCAGAAGCACATGAGGAGAATCTAGAGCCAAACACCCCAACTTTTCTGGACTTTTTCACAACTGAAGAGACTCAGCATCAAAGTGATTGGTTGCCCTTCTAACACAACCAGCCGCATCCTTTTATCCGTGCACAGGATGAGTCTTTGCCTCAAAGATACCGATCGCATCTCCCACACGACCGGTCGCTGGTGGAAAACGATAGGTTGACTCAATGTTGCCAAAATCAAGAGGAGGAAATTGAATTGTTATATGAGATTTTGTCCACTCCAAACCCACCTTCAGCTCTAGTACCACACCAATCGCCTTCTGAGGAAGTCATTCATGTAACATATCCCTATGAAATTGATAACACTAATGAAATATACCATGATGATTTGATTTCAGAAAGCATAAAGGATACAGATACCCATATATACCAACTTTCAAAAAGGAAGAACCGTAGTAAACCTCGAGCACAGTACGAAGCATATCTTAAAGCCAAAAGAAAATACTCCATCAATAATTATATATATTTAAGCAGATTATCAGAGTCACATGTACACTTTGTGAAGTAGTTGATTGTTATATCTGTCCCAATAGTGTGACTAAAGCACTAGAAGACTCAAAATGGAAAGAAGCCATAAATGAAAGAAATGCGATCTCTCCAGAAGAATGCCACATAGGAGCTCGTGCTTTTACCTCACGTTAAGAAGACGGTGGGATGCATGTGGATCTATATTGTGAAACTCAAAGCAGATAGATCCATTGAAAGATATAAAGCTAGATTGGTGGCGAAGAGATACACACAGAGATATGTGGTGGACTACTAGGAGACCTTTGCCCCAGTAGCCAAGATCAACACTATTAGAGTCTTATTGTCTCTAGCAGCAAATCTAGATTGGCCAATACAGCAGTTCGATGTTAAAAATACCCTTTTACATGGAGACTTGGAAGAAAAGATATACATGGATTTACCACCAGGATGTAATTTAGCTCATGACAAGAAAAATCAAGTTTGCAAGCTCAGAAAATCATTATATGAGTTAAAACAATCTCTCAGGGCATGATTTGACAGATTTACTAAGTCCATGAAGAATTTTGGATACGCTCAAAGTAATTTAGAGCACACATTTTTCTTGAAGCGTGATGGAGGAAAAATCATTACATTAATTGTTTATGTGGATGACATGGTTATAATTGGGAACGGCACATGAGAGCCAAAAAAGCTACAAAACTATTTGTCTCAGGAATTAGAGATGAATAATTTAAGTGCTCTAAAATACTTCCTCGAGATTGAAGTAGCAATGTCAAAAACTGGTATATTTTTGTCTCAAAGGAAGTATGTGATGGATCTACTTATTGAAACATGAATGCTTGGATGTAAGCTTGATGACACACCTATTGAGATGAATCACAAGTTGTGTGAAGATGTGGACCGATTGCCAACCAATAAGAACACTATCAACGCCTTGTTGGAAGGTTGATATATTTAGCACACACAAGACCAGATATTGCATATGATGTGAGTGTGGTTAGTTAGTTTATGCATTCACCTAGTGTTTCTCATAGAAATCCAGTTGATCGGATCTTAAATACTTAAAGTCAGCCCTTGGAAAAGGATTAATGTTCTCAAAGAATGGAAATCTTGAAGTTTGGGCTAGTTCCATTACAGATAGATGCTTTATATTGGGTTACTTTACATTCGTTGGAGGTAACCTAGTCACCTGGCGGAGTAAAAAATTAAAATGTGGTTGCTCGGTCTAGTGTAGAAGAGAGTATCAAAGAATGGCTCAAGGAGTTTGTGAATTATTGTGGATCATAAGACTCTTAACAAAATTGGGTTTCAAACTAGAAAATCTAATGGAGTTATATTGTGATAACAAGTCAGCTATCGATATTGCTCATAATCGAGTTCAAAATGATCGAACTAAACATGTTGAGGTGGATAGACATTTCATCAAAGAAAAAATTGAGAACAAGATCATCTATTTACTCTTCATAAAATCAAAATATTAATTAGCGGATGTCTTAACAAAAGCTGTCTGTGGATGAGTGTTTTATGACTTACTTACTAAGTTGGGCCATGATGACATATATGTACCAACTTGAGGAGGAGTGTTGATGTGAGTTAACCTACTGAATCAAGAAGATTTATTTCCTAAGTTAATTAGGTGATTTACTTTCTTGTTTTATATAGTCGACACATCCTTGTATAATTATGAGATATTCTCCTAATTAATTACTATACCTATTTTCTTATAAAACACCTTTGTAAACTCCTATATATCTCCTTATGGAGAAGAATACAATTAACCTAAAGTATTCAAACCAAATATTATATTTTATAAAAAAAAACCTTAGTTCCATTGTAATTCTGGGCTTGCCTTTATTTTATTGGGCTTCAAGTTGTTCCTGTCTTTGCTTTTTCCACTTTTCAGCTAATTTTATTTTCATATATACAGATCTTCTGGACAGTTAATGGGACTTGCTGGTTTAAACTATGCCTCTGCTACACTTAGCACAACCATGCTTAATCTCGTTCCAGCCCTTAATTACATTCATACTTGCATTACTATTCAGGTTTCTAATTTCCTTCAGTTTGTGTTTTTCTTACTATTCAACGTCAAGCTTTTTCTTCTGTTAAAATCATGATTTTTTTCTTCTTCTTCCAACTCACCATAGATAATGACTAAAGCCACTTTTAATTATTTGTCAAGCAAGTCTCACGATTACTTGTATTTTATTGTTTAATTAGGATGGAAAAGCTAAGGGGGCGTTTGGTATCCTATTCAAATAGGAAACTCAAAATCTTTGATTTTTCTTAAAACAAGGAGTTCTTAAATCTATTTTTAAGATTCAAAAACTTGTTTGGTGTGCAACTTGAAAACTGTTTTCAAATCTTAAAATTTTGAGAACTTGTGGGTTGTTAGAAAAAAAATTGAAAAAACAGATATTTTTTGTTTTTAATAATTAGGGTGTTTTTTTTAGTTGTTCTTGAGTTTGAGTTTTTAAAAATAGGACTACCAAATAGTTTTTCTTTGTTTGAACTCAAATTTTGTTTTTGAGTTTAAAAAATTAGATTCAAGTTGAATACCAAACAAGCCCTAAATTGCTAAGACTATAGGAACTGTAGCGTCAATTACTGGGGCATTTGTAGTGACTTTCTACGAGGACTCAGTGCTGTCATTTCATGTGTTTGATGTATATCATGTATGTAAAGCATTTTCAATATAGAATCAGTGCTGTCATTTCATTTATCTGCAGACATGGGTTGTTAGGGACTACCCTGCAGTGCTAATGGTAACAACAATTTGCGGCGTCTTCGTCATCATCCACTCTGCTGCAATTTCTATGATTGCTGTCAAAGGAGCTCATAGCTATGCCTATTGGGTACAATGTGAGAAAAGAACTTCTTCAACATTATTGGCTTAATTTTCTTTTGATTTTCAACCGAACTTTATGTGCTGCTTAATTGATTACTAGAGGCAGCTTTTGAAGCAATGCTGAGGACTGGTATTCATTTTGTGGGCATTGAATCAAGCCACTTGGTTTAGTCATCGCACTTTTTGTTGGCGTGGCATTTTTTGGAAGGTAAATGTTATCTTTTATAATACTCTTTATATTGGTTGCAAAGATATAAATTATGAGATATTTAGTTATATACTTATTCTTAGTACTAAATCTATAAATAAACCCTACATAATTTAATATCTATAAACAAACCCAAAAAAAAAACTCAAAAAATGACAGTTGGCCGTATTGAATTTAATTTTGATTATTAAATTACTTTGATACCCTATTGAGTGTTTTGAGCATTTTTTTTTATAAGGTTTTGGGGTTGAGTTTGTTTTAAGAAATCAATGACAGTTTTGTAATTCAAAAGAAGTTAAAAGCCTTTTTGTTATGTTATAAATGAGATTTGGGTGTTCTAAAGTCCATTTCATATATATATATTTTTAAAATTTTTATTTATAATTTGGGCTCCTATATTGGATATAATATTGAATCTTCCATAAATTATAGCTTATGTTTCAACTTATTTTGACAGTGGTAGGGTTTTATGTTGTAATTTGGGGGAAAGCCCAAGAAGCGAGGGAGGAGCTCAAAATGATCAAACTAGAAGCTTGAAGTTGGAGTCATTTTCTCAAACAGAACCTCTTTTGCCTAAACAATGAGAAAGACTTCCATGAAACAGGGATAACACCAATAACACTATGATACGTGTGATAACACTTTCACGTGGCATAACATTATTGACTGAGATAATAAAATAGTGTTATCTCCTTTTTAGCCAATGGAAAAGAAATTGAACCATGACCCTACATTTTGGGTGGGTTAGATGTTATTGTCAGTCTGTCATTAATAGCATGCAAAATTGACATCTTATTGGTGGTCAAAAGCATTTGCATCCTAGTAGTAAAAGAACATTGGAATAAAGTCCAACTTTTACTCAAGTATGAGGTGGAATGATGTTCCACTTTAATTACGGTCTGGCATATTTCATTTTCCCTTTCTTTCTGAGATTTGTAAATAGGCATGTTGCTAAATTTATTGTCGGCTTAAAATGCTGTATGACAACCAGTGAGGTCATCTTTCAAAATATTGCTGTCGACAAAGACAAATGTATAGATTCCTTTTATATATTAAAAAAAAAATGTTGTCCATATTACATGATGCCTCAAATAATACTAGAAACACCAATTGATGTTGAAGAATTTCACTTGTTTCATAAATGGGCTCATTCTTAATTTTATTTATTCACAATAATTAAGAAATTGTCGCATCAATTAATAACAGCATCAGATAAAAAAAAAATTAGTTGGGCCATTGGCCTCTACCTTCATAAACATATACAGGGCATGAAGTAAGCAAAGCAAACAAGCAACCCCATGAGGGGGGTGGGTACGCGTGGGCCAAGATATCTTAGCATAGGCGGTGGAGAGGGAGAAACGTGTAACTGCGTGAATGAAAGTATAAAATCATGCATGCATAGTTTCTGTTTTAAACATCTAATCGTTGACGATTGAACTTGAAAATTTAACACATTTGCATTATTTCTGCATAACAACAGATTTTTCCGTGATAAAATTCTTCCATCAGATGTGACTCAATTTTTGGGCTTGAAAAATCAATCCTTGACTAATTTATGCCAGAAAAGTATACCATTCTCGGCTTCAGTTTCATGCTTCCACCTTTGTGGCTTTGACTCTTACCAGTATAATTCCTGGAGAGAGACAGAGAGGGAGGCGGAGAGAGACAGAGAGATTTGGATATGGCGATGGGGATTTCAATGCCCTTTGTGGGAATGGTGATGGTGATTCTTGCTCAGGTGACTAGTTTGATACTAAACAAGGAAGCCATGGCCAGCGGACTGAGTGAATATGTTCTTGCTGTCTACTCTTTTGCTCTAGCCGCTCTCATTCTTCTCCCTTTTTGCTTCTTCTTCAACAGGTCTCTGCCTTTTCTCTCTGTTTCTCTCTCTCTCTCTCTGTCTTTAAGTTGATTTACTTACTTGTCTCTTCATTTGATGGCAGATCAGAGCGTCCCCCACTCAGCTTCTCCATCATCTTGAGATTATTCTTACTCAGCCTTATTGGGTTTGTCAAAAAGACCTCAGTTGAAAGTTGAAACTAATAACCAATAAATAAATACAAGTTGTTCTTGTCTTTGGCTTTTTCCACTTTTCAGCTAATTTTATTTTCATACAAACAGATCTTCTGGACTGTTAATGGGACTTGCTGGTTTAAACTATGCTTCTGCTACACTAAACACAGCCATGCTTAATCTCATTCCAGCCTTTACATTCATACTTGCCTTACTGTTCAGGTTTTTAATTTCCACAGTTTCTGTTTTTCTTACTATTCAACGTCAGTCGTTTTCTTCTGTTCAAATCATGACTTTAAAAAAAGAAAGTATTTTCTAGAGCCACTTTTAATTATTTGTAAAGCAAGTCTCATGATTACTTGTATTTTACTGTTTAATTAGGATGGAAAAGCTAAATTGGAAGAGCTCAAGCAGCCAAGCTAAAACTATAGGAACTGTAGTGTCAATTACAGGGGCATTTGTTGTGACCTTCTACAAGGGCCCTGCAGTCGTACACGCACGCTTGTCCTCTGCTGGGACTGGCCTATTCAGTAATCTATTTCTCTTCTCAGAAAAATCACATTGGGTCCTTGGAGGGCTACTTCTAGCAGCTGACTCCTTCTCGACCTCATTATGGTTTATTGTGCAGGTGATGAACTTTTGTACAAGAAGTTCTAGCTGACATAACACCCACTTACCTCAAGTACAAATTAATATGATATGACCCTTATTTTTTTCGTCTTTTCTTTCTCTTTAACCTTGAATTTTTGCAGGCCTCAATTCTTAAGAAGTACCCTGCAGTGCTGATCACAGTCTTCTTTTACTGCTTCTTTGTCTGCATACAATGTGCATTAGTCTCACTGATACTTGTACAAGACCTAAGTGCTTGGAGGCTAAAATCTAATATTGCATTGCTTGCAGTTTTATACTATGTGAGCAACTCTGCATATAATTGTGATATCATATTGTTATTGGATTAATTAATTTAAGTTATACATAATTTGTTACTTAACATGAGGTATAATTTGCAACATGTAGGGGATTGTTGGGATTTCATTTCGTACCAACATGTGTACATGGTGCCTGCAGAGAACAGGACCTGTGTATGTTTCTATGTTCAAGCCCCTTGCCGTGGTTTTCGCAGATGTCATCGATGTAATTTTTCTGGGACAAGCTCTCTATCTTGGAAGGTATAATATAGATATATGTAGCGGATGAAGATGCAGCTTTTAATTTTACCAATTACTGTATATCTTCCTTTTTATTTCCATGGTACATAAGAAGTAATCAAAATTTTACTGCAGCTTGATTGGAGCAGCTGTAATTATCTCTGGTCTTTATGTTGTGATATGGGGAAAGGCCAGAGAAGAGAAGTTGCATGAAAACAGTGGAGAAGGGCAGAATTGCTTAGAATCATCCACTGAAAGGGTTCCCCTGCTGTAAAATGTGACACAGAATTGCCTTGTGTAAATATTATGGTCTTAATGTGTTCAGTATAGAATCAGTGCTGTCATTTCTTTAAAAATTGAAAACAAGAAATGGCAGAAAAGTGAGATCATTGTCATTTCTTTATCTGATTTTTTTATCTGCAGACATGGGTTATTAGGGACTAACCTGCAGTGTTAATGGTAACAACAATTTGTGGCATCTTTGTCACCATCCAATATGCTTCACTTTCTCAGATTACTGTCAAAGGACTAAATGCATGGAGGCTAAAGTCTGATATTGAGTTCATAGGTATTGGGTATAATGTGAGGGAAGATCTGTTTCAACATTATTGGCTTAATTTTCTTTTGATTTTCAACCAAAACTCATATGTGCTGCTTAATTGATTACTAGAGGCAGCTTTTGAAGTAATGCTGAGGACTGGTGTTCATTTGTGGGCATTGAATATAAAAGGTCCTGTTTATGTTGCCATGTTTAAGGCACTTGGGCTAGCCATCCTACTTTTGTTTGGCGTGCCATTTCTTGGAGATACTCTGCTATCTGCAATAACCATGTTTTATTCACCGACCCAAAAGAAAAAAGAAAAAAGAAAAATGAAAAATGAAAAAAGAAAAAAGAAAAAAGAGAACATGTCATTGGTTGCAAGGATATAAGTTACAGTGATGCAGTACGGAAGCACGGATTTATGGATCGACAAACGTCTAAATCAGAAAAGATAAACTAAAATCCACCAGAAAATAGGGTGAATCTCTAAAATTGGATTAATAATTTGAATAAACTTCTTAATACAATACCAATGTGCATTCCTTCTTTTCCTAGTGCCATAGATGATGCTCAAACATGATTTTCCATATGTGAAGCCCAATTTTCTGATTTTGAATTCGTCTCCTTTTTCAAATTTCCTTCGTAGGAACAAACCCATGATTTGTCCTACATCATGTATCTCTGTTCCAACTTATTTCAACAGGTTGCTTTGAGCGGCTATAACAATGGTAGGGTTTTATGCTGTAATTTGGGGAAAGTCCAAGAAGAGGAGGAGGCTCAAAATGATCAAAGGGAGTCATTTTCTCGAACAGAACCTTTTTGCCTAAACAAGAAAAAACACTTGTGTGCAACGGGAATTGCAACATTTCACTTCACACAAGCTTTTCAACTAAACAAGGCACTGAGATGAAAAGTGTTGCACACCATCAAATGCCAAGCTCTTGATGACTTGACATGATATTTATCACCACCACTTGAAATGGTCATTACCACCACTCTCCTCACCAACATTAATGTCTCTACCATCCCCACCACCACCGTCTCTACTACCATTCCCAACATCAAACATGATGGCCTACTATTATTTTGAATTTATAGAAATTTATAAAAATCTATCAAACTCTATGATAAGATTCTAACAAATTTCATCAAAATTCTTATGAAATTCAATCAAAGTATATGTGGAGTTTATGAAAGTCAAATAAAATCCATTAAAATCTTAATTGAATACCAAACAAGCTTTGATGACTTTTGAAAACAAATATTCTTGTTAAATAGTTGAGATGATATGTTTTTTTATATATATAAAAACTCCATTTTTTTCCTTTAATATAGATGAAGGAGATAAAATCGAACACAATATGTGGATAACTAAACACTCTCAATCACTTAAACGTAAACATTATGGTGTGGCCATTTTTTCCTTTGTTATCCGATGCAACAAAGAAAAAAAAACATAATGCCAATAGAAGAAAAGAAATTGAACTATGGTGTGGCCCTTCATTTTCGGTGGGAGGGATGTTACTGTCAGTATGTCATCTCATTAGTGGTCTAACATTAAAAGTAAGTCTGTCCCCTCTCTACCTAAGGTGTCCCCTCTCTACCTAAGGTTTTTTTTTTTTTGGTCAAGTCTCTACCTAAGGTTTGTACATAGGCCTCTTGCTAAATTTATTATCGGCTTAAAATGTTGTATGACAGTTAGGAGTGGGCATCAATCCAGCCGAATCGATGAAACTGGATGAATTAAACTATAAATACCGGTTTGGTTTGATTTTGATTAAAAAAAAGTCAAACGGTTTAAAAATGGAACTAGACCGTATATGATTTGGTTTAGTTTAACTTTGAACTTTTGTAAATTGGCCTAAAATAAACAGGACCGTTTATGTGTATATTTTTTTATTTATATTATATTTTACTGTGTAATATTCTAATTAGGTAATAATTATATATGAATATTTGAATTGAGATATTGAAATTTGAATTGAGATGTTGAGCTTTGTGAATTTGTTAGCTGTAATTGGCTAACAATGTTGAAAAAATGCAAAAGAAAAGAGAATTAGACTTAGGCCCAAACTGGCCGAACCAAACCGTTTTAAATTTGTTTGGTTTGATTTTGTTTTCTTTATGACTTTTGTCAAAATCGAATCAAACCAAACCATTATATTGTAATTGATTTAGCTGTGATTTTGAGGTGACACCAATCCAATTCAGACCATGCCCACCCCTAATAACAACCAATGAGTCATTGTATAACTTTCATAAATTTTCATTTGTTTCAGATGTTGAAGCTGCATAGATTATTTGAATTGTGCCTACTATCATCAATCAGGGAGAAAATATCGAATGAGCGTGGGGTAGGTGTTGACGGTGATTCTCAAATATCGTAGAATAGAATGTGATAGAATGTAATAGAAACAAAGATATAAGGAATGGGTTATCTACTCTTAACGGTCAAAGTGAACCCTTTCATTCTGGGTATTGGAGTAACACTACCTATTGATAAGTCCTTAACTTTAGGTCTTTTTTAATTTGATAGTACTTGTATGCTTTTAGCCAGAATCTTATTAAAAATGGGAGCATATGGATTGGTTCGGATGAATATGAAAATGGGCCATTGTATACTTTATTTAGTAATTAAGAAATTGCCACATTTATTAGTAACCGAAAAATTGGTATGTCTAGTATCAGATAAAAAACAAACACGTTGGGCCATTGGACTTTACCTTCATATACAGGGAATGGATCAAGCAAGCAAACAAGTAACCTCATGAGATGAGGGGGTCGGTACGTGTGGAGAAAGACTTCTATAAAACAAGGATAGTATTAATTTTTTATTTCCAGCTAATAACGTTCCACGTGGTATGGTATTATTGGCCGAGATCATAGCAAAATATTGCATTATTGGTATCCTAGTGTAGGGGTAGAGAGGTAGAAATGTGTACCTGCGTACATGGAAGTATAGAATCATGCATGCATATTTTCTGTTTTAAACATCTAATTGTTGCCGATTGAATATGAAAATTTAATAGATATTTATAACAAACCCCATTTTTAACATTGATTTTATATATAAATACTACAACCTACAACTCGAAGAAAAAAAAACCAAAAAGTACTAGCTTTCTTATTTTTTTTAGAATTTAAAAGTATCAAACTTCGGTGGTAATATTATAATTTTTTGGATTTTTAAGGCTTGTATGGTATATTTGGCCATATTGAATGGTCAATTGAGTTTTTCCCTAGAGTTTAAGTATTATAGAGTTTTCTTATAATTCAGGTCCATTTGCGGGCTTATAATTAAGTGAAACTGTTAAAATTTTAGACATTTGCATATATGATGTATGTGAAACTGTCAAAATTTAAGACATTTGCATTATTTCTGCATAACAACAGATATTTCCAAGATAAACTCTTCCATGTTGCCACTCAATTCTCTATCTTTTGCCCTGAATTTTTGCAGGCCTTAATTCTCAAGAAGTACCCTGCAGTGCTGATCATAACCTTCTTTTACAACTTTTTTGTCCCCTAACAATCTGCATTAATCTCACTGACACTTGTACAAGACCTAAGTGCTTGGAGGCTAAAACCTAATATTGGATTGCTTGCGGTTTTATACTCAGTTAGCAACTGTGCACATATAACTCTGATATCATGTTGTAACCCCAATGACACAGAGGTATAATTTAAGGCATATAATGGCCTAGTTTTTTTGTTAAATAACATGAGGTATAATTTGCAACATGTAGGCGATTATTGGGATTACATTCCGTATCAGCATGTCTACATGGTGCCTGCACTGCAGATAAAAGGGCCTGTGTATGTTTCTATGTTCAAGCCCCTTGCTGTTGTTGTCGCAGATGTCATTGATGTAATTTTTCTGGGACAAGCTCTGTATCTTGGGAGGTATAATAAACGTGTATATCTCTGTATTTTGTTGACTAAATACGTACAACACAAGATACATATGAGCTCAAACTGATATACACCTAGTGGTTAACCAAAATTATTGTAGCAGAGAAAGATGCAGCTTTTCACTTTTTTTTTTTTCATGGTACATAAGAAGTAATCACAATTTTACTGCAGCTTGATTGGAGCAGGTGTAATTATCTCTGGTTTTTATGCTGTGATATGGGGAAAGGCCAGAGAAGAGAAGTTGCATGAGGACAGTGAAGAAGGGCAGAGTTGCTTAGAATCATCCACTGAAAGGGTCTCCCTGCTGCAAAATAAGACATAGAATTGCATTGTATAATTGTACGACGGTCTCTGTAGCTTTTATGATGTGTTTAATGTATGTAAAGCATTTTCAATATAGAATCAGTGCTGTCATTTCATTAAAATTTGAAAACAAGAAATGATTTACATAGCGCATTCAATTTTAATTTTTAGTTTTCACTTTTTGTGATAGAGCATAGGGGAAAATGAGAGAGATGATGAGAGGGGAGAGGATGGGAACGAGGAGTAACAAAAGTGAAAACAAAACTTGAAAGTGAAAACAATTTCAAATAGATTTCAGTTTTTAATTTTTGTTTTCACTTTTGTTACTCATTCCTCCCATCCTCCACTCTCATCTTCCCTCTCAATTTCATATTTACTCTCATTCTCACTTCCATTCTCCCTCTTTTTCCTCTATACTCTAGCACAAAAATTAAAAATTAAAAATTAAAATTGAAATAGTTATCAAATGGGAAAATCAGATGAATGGAAAGGAAAAAAGTTTTTTTGGTTCTTCTTCTGATTGGTTGAGTCGGTAGATCGAAATAATTAAGGCTATTGGACCCAACTCAAGATGTCTCATTCCATGGTCCAGTTTGTAGTGAGCGAATATACAGCATAATTTTAATTTGAGTGGAAGTGAAGTCACAGAGTATACACCACTTGTGGGTTTTTGCTCAGAAAAATATCTACATGCTTGCTCAGAAAAATCATCTCTTTATACAACAAATACAACGTTTTACAAAGAGGGTCTGAAAAGAAAAGCATAACACTGCTGCCAAAGACAATTGGCAGTTGCCTTGAAAATATACAAACTACCCATTTCCTCTATCCTACAACAAAATTACAAGTGCAAAGGGGAAGAAAACGGAGAAGTGGTCCGTCTTTGTGACCTTGTGACTCTGTGTGTGTGTGTGTGCGCCAGGGAGAGAGAGAGAGAGAGAGAGAGAGGATGAGCATGGAGAGTTTACTGCCATTTCTAGGAATGGTGATGGCGGTTCTGGCTCAAGCTGCAAATATGATAGTAAACGAAGCAGCCATGTCCAAAGGGAGCAACAAATACATTATGGTTGTGTATGCCAACGGCCTCTCCACTCTCATTCTTCTCCCTCCAGCCCTCTTCTTCCACCACAGGTTCTTCTTTCTTTAATTCTCCATCTCCCTTAATTCTTTAATTTACTGTGTTCATCACTAAGGTGTGTGACAATCTTTCCTCTTCATGTTACTTTGATTTTCTGGTCATTGGCAGATCAGGGCGCCCTCCCCTTACATTCTCCATACTCTGCGGATTCTTCATGCTTGCCCTGTTTGGGTTGGTAACATAGTACTATGAAACTTTACACTACTTTTTTACATGTGAATTTGCAATTTCTTACATGTAAATTGTAAGATAAATAACTCAATCAATTGACATGCGAATTTTTTAGGGGTTCTTTATTGATGCATATTTAGAAAAAGAAATATATTCTGGTTGATTTTAGTTACTTCCATGCAGATGTTCTGCCCAGATATTTGGATATGTTGGTATAGAATACAGCTCTGCCACGCTTGGCACCGCCATGCTTAACCTCATCCCAGCATTTACTTTCATACTTGCCATCATTTTCAGGTTCTGTTTTTTTCTTTCTGATTGGAATATAAGAATACTGATCTGAATTATACATATTTAGAGCTCATGGCAAATGACTAAAACTATTAAACTTTTTCTTATAAGTTGATTTCTTAAAAGAAAAAACCAATTAGATTAATGTGTATGTGTAATCACATGCATTGATTGTTTGAAATGGGTGGTTTTAGGATGGAAGAGGTGCAGTGGAGAAGCTCAAGCAGTAAAGCCAAAATTTTGGGAACCATAGCATCAATCGCAGGAGCTTTTGTTGTAACATTCTACAAAGGCCAGCCAATCATGCTGCCACCATCATCACATCCACCCAATCTCTTCTCATCAAAATCAAATTGGGTTCTGGGAGGCCTTTTTCTTGCAGCTGACTCCTTCTCCAGTTCCTTATGGTACATTCTGCAGGTAATTAGGCGTATCATTCAATCATTCTATTACCCTTTCAAGAGCTCAAAGCAAAGAACAAGCAAATCAATTAATGAATTGTTTTATTTTCTTAATTCCAAACATTTGCAGGCATCAACCCTAAAGAAGTACCCAGCAGTTGTGGTCACAGTCTGTTTTCAAAGCTTATTCATGACCGTTCAGTCTGCATTAGTTACTTTAATTGCAGTTAAAGATGCAAGTGCTTGGGAGTTAAGGTTGGATATGGGGCTGATTGCTGTTTTGTACACTGTAAGCAAGCAAGTAGCAATGTCTATAATGTCTTCAAGTTCAAACTTTATTCATAAATTCATTTTTGTATGCTCATATATCTCATCATATAGGCAATTGTTTCAATCGGTCTCCGTTACACTTTAACCGCCTGGTGTGTGTGGAAGGCTGGAGCTCTTTTTTGTTCTATGTTTAAGCCTCTTGGAATTATTTTTGGTGTGATCATGGGTGCCATCTTTTTGGGAGATCCATTCTATTTTGGAAGGTACGCACAATTGTAAGTCGTGTTATTAAAGCATTTGGATATAATCGTTAAGAGATTTGTAACTTAAGTAGTTAAACATATTTATTTGTTTATCCAAGATCTCGTTCCAATTAATTGTAAGGGTTAATTTGTAGGTTTTTATTTATTTATGAATTTTAGTACCTGCGTGTAAAATTTTAAAAATTGAGTACTAATTTGAAACGAGCTCAAAGATTGAGTACTTTTATGTAAACGCTAATTATAATTTGTTAGAGTCAATAAGCGGTGGTCTCACTCTTTTTAGGTGCAATAAAATAGTATATGTTCTATAGTAATATTAAACTTTCGTTAAATTAAGGTGGTTGAGAGCATAAAATTGATTGGTGGAAAACTTGTAAAATAATCAGAAACGACAACCAGTACATAATCATGGAAGAGAAAGGGGGGTCCCAACCTCAATTAGTGACGGCCCAGTGGAGAATCTTTTATTTCATTGATTGATTGAAAGTTACTGAAAGCTACAGATGGTTTACAAAGTCTTTGCCTCTTAACAAGTGTGCACGTTTATGATTAAGCCTTCTTGTCAGCAAATTAATTAATGATAATTGTTCAATAATTTTGCAGTTTGGTTGGTGCACTTATAATTGTTACTGGGTTTTATGCGGTGATGTGGGGAAAGGCCAAAGAAGAGAAGCTGGTGGAAGGTGGTAGTCGTTGGGAATCATTAGGTCATAATAAGGTCCCTCTACTACAAAACAATATCGAAGAAAAGCACAACTGCACAAGTATCTTGTGTAAATAACAAGGCGGGTTCTTTTTTGTTTGTGTACATAAGCGGTTAGATTATTAAAATAGTCTAAATGTAATGAAATGCAAATAAATTTAAATTTTTTAATGGTGATTGTAAAGATTCGAGATCTCATATGTGAAAAGAGATGTGATTTCCCCACTTCTTTTTTCTCCACTTACACTCTCTTTTGCTTTTTAATACTTTTTAATCAATTGTGTTCTTTCTTTTTCCTATTCTACTCTTACCCTACATTGATTTCTTTTTACTTCACTTTTATATTAGTTCTTTTTTTTTTACACTTAATTTTTTAACTTGCACTCTATTTTTAGTTTTTTTTTTCCTTTAATCGAGTAAGAAATTAAGTATTTTTTTTTCCCTTTGACACTAAAAATGGAGTGTATGACAGGACCCGCCCCGAATTTCCCGGAACCCGAGGCGAACCCTGCGGAGACCCCGACATCACACCCACGCCGGGTTCACTCCTTAAAACTATGTCCTCATTTACCAGAGAGGATTAAGGGCACGAGACTTTCTGCCGAAATTTCGGCAGTCTCCCCTGTAAATTGAACATTTCCCCCAAATTTCCACCTGCATAAAACACATTTTATAACCCAACCGGCAGCATGCACAATATAATCTCATGCAATTTACATAAATGGCCTTCGGCCTTCAAATGATTCTAGCAGAACTGCCCACAATGTTTTTAAAATAACTTAATCCATCAAACATGCATATAATGAATTCAAAATCTATTTATGCCCACCTTCACTCACTCAGTCCACAGGACAAGCCTCAATTCAACTAAGTTTCAGGATCAACCACGAGGTCCGAACCAATCTCAATAAGACCACCTAAGTGTGGTCTAATCTGTGGCTGCACCTAGTAACTTCAGGCTGCCTACGTACCCTACTAAGGGATCAAGCCACACGTAGTTCTTTCGTATCTATCCTGGCTCCTAATATCAGATAAACCATTACAGCCATACAAATTCATACATTCTAGGATTTATTCATCACAACTCACCAAACACAATCATAATATAATCCCCTCATACGACGGGACGCATTCGGCCTCGTATGGGGTCTGTCAACACGCCGGTTAATCCAAAGACGAGTGCGACCTCACTCTAGGCCTGACTACATTCTCACCAACCCTCACACAATCATATCTCCCCTCATACGTCGGGACGCACCCGGCCACGTACGAGGTCTGTCAACACGCCGGCTAATCCAAAGACGTGTACGACCTCAACACTGGGCCTGACTACGTTTTCACCAGCCCGCACACAATCACATCTCCCCCCATACGTCGGGATGCACCCGGCTAGGTATGAGGTCTGTTAACACGCCGGCTAATCCAAAGACGCGTGCGACCTCACACTGGGCCTGACTACATTCTCACCAGCCCTCACATAATCATATCTCCCCTCATACGTCGGGACGCACCAGGCCACGTATGGGGTCTGTCAACACGCCGGTTAATCCAAAGACGAGTGCGACCTCACTCTAGGCCTGACTACATTCTCACCAACCCTCACACAATCATATCTCCCCTCATACGGCGGGACGCACCCGGCCACGTATGGGGTCTTTCAACACGCCGGCTAATCCAAAGACGTGTACGACCTCAACACTGGGCCTGACTACGTTTTCACCAGCCCGCACACAATCACATCTCCCCTCATACGTCGGGATGCACCCGGCTAGGTATGAGGTCTGTCAACACGCCGGCTAATCCAAAGACGCGTGCGACCTCACACTGGGCCTGACTACGTTTTCACCAGCCCGCACACAATCACATCTCCCCGCATACGTCGGGATGCACCCGGCCACGCATGAGGTCTGTCAACACGCCGGCTAATCCAAAGACGCGTGCGACCTCACACTGGGCCTGACTACATTCTCACCAGCCGCACGGGTTTACCCCCCTCAACATAATCACAATATGGAGGGGTACGTGGGGTAGTGCGTATAGCACTGTAAACTAACATTCGATCCCTTAATTTACTTTTTATTCAACCACACAATTAAATATATAATTTCTAATTTCTAATTCTGTATTAACCTCGATCAATAAAGCATTCCATAAACTCCCCCATTTAAATTCACCAATTTATATCCTAAACCCACAATATCCATTTAACTCAACAATGCTCAAGACCTGTCACTAAGGTCATTCTAACCCTCTTAGGATGGTAGAACTACAACGAATGTCTAGAGGTCAACCCGGGGTCAAACTACCCAAACTTGGTCAAACAGGCCCGCGGGGCCCACGACCTCCAAATTATGATTCGAAAGTTCCTATAGGTTCTACAAGGTCTAGGACACACGTCCTGCAAATTTGGTCCAGATCGGAAGGTCGGATCGCTCACGATCGCACGATCGGACGGTTACTAAACCTTACCCCTAGGGTTGGCATTTTCGGAGTATCCGGGACTCCATTTTACGATTCGTCAAATCCTACACGATCCTGGTACTACCCAGATCAACATATTATAACTCCAGGACCATCCAACGGTCCAAACCTAGCGAACCCAAAAAATATGCGATATGCGATATCCGTTCGGGACTCTAACGATATCCAAATTGAAATCCGAGCACACCTACGCGCTCGTGATAACAAGAAGATCACATTGGGATAAAATGCCCCTTTTCTACAGTGCCCACGCGCCGCCACACGCGCAAGCAGCGCGTGGGTGTCCAAAGCGATACCCATCGCCGGAAAACTTCCAAATCGAGAGCCACCCTTCCGGCTACAGCTACTACTCGACGAGTGGAGCAACTTATTCAACTACGGCAACGTCCAATTCGGACGGCAAGTGGCCGGAATTTCAACCCGAAATCTGGCCAAAACCTAGGTTCTAAAATCGGAATCCTAGACAAGAAATCAATCCAATCCTACCCAACAGGCAGCTAGATCTCAGAAAATAGATGAGGAACCATACTTATTTCACCGGATTTGGGCGGCGGAGGCGGTGGCGCAACGACGGGAAAAACCCGTTTCAAACCAGTCGAAACCGCTGGAGGGATTCGAGGTTTCCGGCGGGGATTTCAGGTGCGACGTGACCGGGATGTCGAGCCGGTTCGAACGTGACCGGTCCCACGTCTTGCCATGGCCGGACGGCCGTGAATCGAAGAGAGAGAGAATCGGAGTCGGGGAGAGAGAGAGAGAGGAGAGAGAACGCGCGGGAGAGAGAGAGAGAGATGGGGGTAATTCCGTCTTTTAACCAAAAACTCATTTCAAAATATTTACGATTATGCCACTGAGCTTCATTTGATCGTATCTCTCTCGTTACAACTCCGATTCGAGCCCACTACGTGTCTACGGACTCATCTCACCGTGCTCTACGCAACGGTACAACTGGAATTTTCAAATTCCCTCCAGATAAGAAAATGACTAAATTACCCCTATCCCAAGGGTAAATTCGTAATTCCACTTAAATAAATTAAAATATGCAATAAATTTGGAGTCGGGGTGTTACAGTGTAAGTTGAAAAATTAAGCGTAAAGAAAAAGAAATAATATAAAGTGAAGTAAAAAAGAAATTAATGTAAGGTAAAGATAGAATAAGAAAGAGAAAGAACAAAATTGATTAAAAAGTATTAAAAAGCAAAAAGGAGTGTAAGTGGAGAAAAATGGAGTGGGGAAATCAGATCCCTATGAAAATTACACTTAAATTATCTTGACTCACTAATTTTAAAATTTATAATATTGATTTTTGGACTGAAATGATCGAGCATACAACTAATTGAAATGCAAAGCGACGTTTTCACCATTCAACTTATCATTTGATAACTAACTAGTTTTTAGTCTAATGAAACTCATCATTTAATCACTAATTAATTTTTAATCTAATAATATTTCCCTTAATTTCATAAAGAAAATTTTAAGTTCGAATCTCACTCACAAGTTGAAAAGAGAGATGAAATAAACATTGAATTTTGGAGTTACAAGTTACAACTAGTAAAAACAGGACAATGCTTGAAAGAAAATTGAAACAATGTTTTTCTTTTATCTTAAAAAGAACAGGTGGAAACAACGTATTTAAAAAAATAGTAAAACCAAGTGGCGGGCAAAGTGAGACAAACAGACACACCAATTATGAATTAAAAAATGAGTCTTTAGTCAGTTGAAATTAAGCGTAGCTGAACGATTTTGACGAGTTTGATAGAAAGTGTGTGTAATTCTGGTTGTGGGATTGAAGAGAAAAACAGAGCCATGGGGAAAGTTGCAGCACTACCTATAGTAGGGATGATGATGACTGAGTGTGCTGGAGCAGGGGTCATAATACTAAGCAAAGCAGCCATGTCTACTGGCATGAGCAACCTCATCTTTGTCTTCTACTCCAACGCTCTTGCTTCCCTCATCCTCCTCCCTACTTCTTTAGCCTTCCACAGGTAATTAAATCTCTCTTTGTGAACTACCCAGAAACCAAAGATTTTGTTTTTCGCTATAATTTCCTACTTTGATCACAAATGTAATTCCTTTCTTTGAGTGTTCTTGTTAGATCGCGTCCTCCTCTCACTTTCTCTGTCCTCTGTTGGTTCTTCTTGCTTGGTCTAATTGGGTAAGTTACTATTTTCATCTACAAACTACAATATTAGAAAAATCCCATATAATATGATAAATTAAAGTTTGCATTTTGGGATGGTTTTGTTTGCACAATTGACACTTTTAATTTGTTGCCTTGTGGTAAGTGGATTATGTTTAGTGGGTTTGATTGGTATTAGCATTTTGCAGATTCGTTGCGCAGTTTGTTGGGTATGCTGGGATTAATTACAGCTCTCCTACTCTTGGCACGGCTATGCTCAACCTCCTTCCTGCTTTTACCTTCATACTGGCAGTCATCTTCAGGTCACGCCCTCCTCTTATTACTCACCCCACCCTCTGGGGCTACCTATTTTACTTTTGTCTTAGTGGAAGCTATTTTAGCTTGTTTCTATTTTACTTGGGAAATTTATCTTGTGTTTTCTAAAGAAACCTTCTAGGGCAAAATAATAATAAAAAAGTTTCTGAAAGGTTATGTTCTGAGTCTTGAGTCATTGGCCTTAGTTTCCCGGGAGAATCAAGTTTCTTCTGCTGTATCCACATTGCAGTACTTGTTATGTTTTTCAAAGATTTCTGTAGAAGAACCAGTGTAAAGAGTTCAATAATCTTATTTTCTTGTCTCCAATGAGAATTTCAGCTGATGAGCTTTCTCTCACCACAGATAAGAGTTGTACAAATTTTGAGACAGTGGTAGACTGGTAGTTTGGTAATGTCACGCCGTCAACCATTTCTAAATTCATTCAACTGGGTATTTTCAGAATGGAAACAGTTGACTGGAGAAGCTCCAGTACCCTAGCTAAATCCTTGGGAGCAATGCTTTCAATTTCAGGGGCATTCATTGTGACTCTTTACAAGGGCCCTGCACTTCTGTTGACATCCTCAACTGATATATTGTCTCATAAACAACTTTTCTCACAACAGTCAAACTGGGTCATTGGAGGAATTCTCCTTTTGGTTTATTGTGTGTTGGCTTCATCATCTTATATTATACAGGTAATATCTGTGAATTTAAATTATGAAACTGTGGAATTTGTGTAGAAAATTGAGATTAGTTATTATTCTATTGTGTGTTTCAGGCATCAGTCATAAAGAAATACCCAGCAGAGCTAATTATGGTATTTTATTATTGTTTCTTTGTGGCTATTCAAGCTGTAGTAGTCTCTTTGATTGTAGAAACAGACCTAAGTGCTTGGAGCTTGAAACCTAAAATGAGGTTGATCGCTGTTGTATACTCGGTAAATGGAAAATGTAACTCAACCATTACATACCTATTGGATTCAGATATGTGCTAAAACATGAACCTAAGCTGTTCAACCTTTAAATTATATTATTGTAGGCAGTTTTTGGCTCGACATTTACGATTGGTGTAACCACATGGTGCCTTCATAGGGCAGGGCCTGTTTTTATAGCTATGTTTAAGCCTTTGGGGATTATTGTTGCAGTTTCCATTGGTGTTACTTTCGTTGGGGATACTTTCTACCTTGGAAGGTAGGATTTCTACCTTGTTTTTCCCTCTTAACTACCATATCTAAATGCTGCAGAGTGAGAGACATTAACTTTGTTCCTGGTGAAAAAAAAGAAATAAATCAGTTGCTTGCTGAATCCTGCAGTTTGGTAGGAGCAATTGTAATTGTCATTGGTTTTTATTCGGTGATGTGGGGCAAAGCCAATGAAGAGAAGATGGATGGTGGTGCTGAGACAAAGAGCTTGGCAACAAGCAACCAACGGGTCCCTCTATTACAAAACACTCTTGATGAAATATAGAAGTTTACAGTAATCACACCATGAGGTTTATCTTGCCAAACAAATGGGTACTCTATCTCCTCTTCTTCGTTCTTTCAGAATGCTACCATTTCTGTCATTCTTGAAAATTGGGATAGGTTATTGTGGAATTGTTTGCTGAAGGCCATGGAAAATTGAGGATAACTGGAAAACTCATCCTTTCCATCAGTTGTTATACTCCAATTCAGGCCTGATTTGGCGCTGGGTTGGTCTATTATTTTTGGTATTTTAACTGTTTAAGATAACCAGACAATCCATGATGCTGTTTGTATCACCAACAGATAGTGAACTACCACCATCGTGCACATGTGGGGTTGGAAATATCTAACAACCACTGTTGATGTGACAATTAGAGAAGATGGCAGCTAAACGTCAAGTTTTATTTTTATTATTTTTTATGCAAGTGATATTGGGTGAGGGGGGATTCGAATGTAGGACCTCAGGTGCAGGGGAAACTGTCAAGGTTAATTGCAAGCAATGACCTGTTTGCCAGTGGGTACTTGCGTAATAGGCACAATATGGAGATTTATGTTTGGTATTTTTCTGCATATACATTTGGTACTTTTGTTCATAATATGCCCATACCTGACTGGAGAAGTTATGTATCTATAAAATGTAGGGTTGTGAACATGGGGAGCATGATCATACATATCATATCAGAATGAGTTGGACGTCGAGTTTGCAGGGTCAAACTTAAAGGCAACCGTAACAGAAACATTTATGTGAAAGCAGCTTCTTGTTTGGAAATGAAATCTAGTTGTGGTAGTTGGTTTAAGATGTATGATCTCCTTCTTCATTAGTTGTACCAAATAAGGTAACAATAAGTTAGTTAGGCTTGGGAGGGAAGGAATGATGGCAATTGGCGAGGGCTAAAGTTCTTGAAGAACATATTTTCCACTATTTAATTGAAACATCTGTTGACATCTTTTGTTGTTTCTGTAATTATATATCATTATTTTTCTTTCTAATCATACTAGTACTTCAAATTGTGCAATTGAAATGCAGGCTCTTGTAGGCTGATATTGATGGGTATTATGAATTATATATGCTGAAAATATTGCTAGATCTGGGTTGAGTTCAGATTTTAGAAAAAAAAATCTAAAGCAAGATACAAGAGAAGCACAACTGCAGAAGTCCTCTGTTTATGCCTAATGGAAATGGAATTCCTCTGTTTCTAGTTGATGCATTTTCAAATTTTATCAATTCAAAAATGTAAAAACGTGTGCCTGCCTAAATGGAACCAATAACTTAACCTAAAAATTAAGATAATTGCGTTTTTTACAAGTAAATACATAATCACACCACCTAACTAGAACTGGCAACGAATAATTTGACAAAGAAACCAACTATACCATCAGGTATCAATTTTCATGCGCCTTAAGCCAGTTGGGCCTGAAAGACAATCATGACAGATATCAATAGCTTCAGTGTCAAACTTGCATGCTTTCAACTGTGAAGCCGTGGTCCCTTTTGTTTGTATATGTCACAAGGCACAACACAAGGTGCATGCTTACAGAAACACACACACACAAGCACACACAGGTTTTTCTGGGTTTTTTTTTCCTTCTTGGCATGGGGAAGGGAATTTCAGTGGCTTTTGTGGCACTGGTGATGGCAGTTCTTGCTCAGGTGACTAGTATGATATTGAACAAAGAAGCCATGAGCAGCGGACTGAGTGAATATACTCTTGTTGTCTACTCTAATGCTCTCTCCACTCTCATCCTTACCCCTTCCTCCTTCATCTTTCACAGGTCTCATTTCCTTCTCTGTTTCTTTCACACTGTTTATACATTTTGAAACTACATTCCCCTGCATGTTTATAATATATATCTGACTCTTCATTTAATGGCAGATTAGAGCGTCCTCCGCTCAGCTTCTACATCATCTTCAGCTTCTTCTTACTTGGCTTTATTGGGTTTGTAAAAAAGACCTTGTTTTTATTTTCGAAGAGGTTCAAGTTGTACGTACTACTCAATTTTCGACTTGTCTTGCGCTTTTCCACTTTGCAGCTAATTTAATCCTCATTATGTATAGAACTTCTGCACAGTTAATGGGACTTGCTGGTTTAAACTACGCCTCTGCTTCGCTTAACACAGCCATGCTCAATCTCATTCCAGCCTTTACATTCATACTTGCCTTAATATTCAGGTTTCTAATTTCTCAATTTGTAGTTCCTACTTCTTTCTATCTATCAGGCGTTTGAGTAATTGAGTTGAGACCAAAAACGTAATAATAATAATTTTTCTTATGCTAAGTTGAGGATAAAATTGTTCTCCAAGTCACCCATGATTTTATGTGATTAATTAGGATGGAAAAGCTGAACTGGAGGAGCTCAAGCAGCCAAGCTAAGTCTGTTGGAGCTGTAGTGTCAATTACAGGGGCATTTGTTGTGACTTTCTACAAGGGCCCAGCAGTGATCCACCAACGCTTGTCTTCTGACCCGTTGAGTGGTCCATTTCTCTTCTCACCAAAATCAAATTGGGTCCTTGGAGGATCACTCCTAGCCGCTGAGGCATTCATGTCCTCATTATGGATTATTCTGCAGGTAATTCGATTTAATATTTATATTGGTGGTGAGTTTGTACAAGTACTAGGCTTCTAGCTAATTAAATAGGACCCTTTTTTCTTTTTGCAGGCCTTAATCCTTAAGAAGTACCCTGCAGTGCTGATCTTAGTCTCCTTCTACTGCTTCTTTGTGACCATACAATCTGCATTAGCCTCACTGATACTAGTAAAAGACTTAAGTGCTTGGAGTTTAAAACCCGATATTGGTTTGTTTGCAGTTTTATACTCAGTAAGGAAATAATTACCGTCTCAATGTTCTGATTTCATGTTCTAACTCCAATTATACAAAAATTGGAATTAGGAAATGAGTAAGAATTAGTTGAAGGCATAAATCTACTTTGACCTTGAACTTTGGCCGAATTTTTTGTTTACTCCTGTTTGTTGTGAAGTGGTGAGTATGTAACATGGGGTACAATTTGGAAAATGTAGGCGGTTGTTGGGACTGCGTTACGTACCTGTGCGGTAGCATGGTGCCTGCAGAGAACAGGAGCTGTATATGTTTCTATGTTCAAGCCCCTTGCTGTTGTTGTCGCAGATGTCATTGATGTAATTTTTCTGGGACAAGCTCTGCATCTCGGAAGGTATGAACACATATTTCTCTGTATTTTGTTGACTGATCTGATTGTGCAAAATACCTCTGAGTTCAATGTGATATACTTGATGCAATTTGCTAAAATGTAGTAGATGATGGTGTAGCTTTTCAACTTATACTAAATACCATCTTTTTTATTTGCCAATAGTGCATAAAAAGTAATCAAAATCTTACTGCAGCTTGGTTGGAGCAGCTGTGATTATCACTGGCTTTTATGCTGTGATATGGGGTAAGGCCAGAGAAGAGAAGTTGCATGAGGACAGTGGAGAAGGGCAGTGGTCAGAATCATCATCTGAAAGCACCCCCCTGCTGCAAAGTGCAAAATAAGACACAGATTTGTCTTGTATAGAAACCATGGTCTTAGACGTCTTTGTAATTTTGATGTGCAATTTGATGTGATTTATGTTAAGCATTTCCATCCATCAAAAGAAAAATATGTTGAGCATTTCCGTGCCGATGTTCATATCAGATATTTGGAAATATCTGTATAGCATACAGTTCTCCCACGCTTGCCACGGCCATGCTTAACCTAATCCCCAGCATTTACTTTCATACTTGCCATCATTTTCAGGTTCTGCTTTTTTCTGATAGTAAGAGTAATTTGAACTTGGGGACCCCTACTCAGCGAATATATGTGCATGACTATGACTAAAGATATTAAACTTTCCCTTTATAGTTGATTTCTTATGAAACTAAGTAGAATGGGATAATCTTATCCCATGAGTTGGTGAGAAGAGAAATAGGATAGTCTAATCCACAGCTTGATTGGCTACATTTGAACAAGTGACAAGGACTTTCATATTCAAAAACAAAATTTTCAAAAATGACTTATAGCAGCAGCTTTTATAACCTCAGTCTAGTTGAAATTTCGAAGGGTCAGCTGTCCTCCAGTTTTCCACTAATTGGTACAGAAGATGCGAGTGAAAATACTGCAATTAGGTCCTCTTTGTTGTTATGTAAGAACAAATATGCTTCAATTGTTTGAAATGGGTGATTGAGGATGGAAAAGGTGCACTGCAGAAGCTCAAGCAGCCAAGCAAAAGTTTCTGGAACCATAGTCTCAATCACAGGAGCATTTGTGGTAACATTCTACAAAGGCCTGCCAATCATACTGCTATCATCATCACTCTCCAATTCACCCAATCAACTCCTTTTTCTCATAACAATCAAACTGGATTCTGGGAGGGCTTTTTCTTGCAGCTGAAGCCTTCGCAACTTCTTTATGGTACATTATGCAGGTAACTAGGCCTATTATCAACTCAATTACCCTTTCTAGAGCTGAAAGTAAAGAACAAGCAAATGTTTGCAGGCATTTGTCGTTAAGAAGTACCCAGCAGTGGTGTTCATAGCCTTTTACCAATGCTTATTCACAACCATATCTGCAGCATTTACATTAGTTGCAGTTAGAGATGCAAGTGCCTGGGGAGCTAAGGCTGGATGTGGGGCTGATTTCTATTTTATATGCTGTAAGCAAATAGCAACCCTGTCATGTTTTGGAGTTGAAAGATTTTTCATAGTTCATAAAGGATACTTGTAGATGCAATTAAATTCTTTTTGCATGATCACCATATATAGGGTATTGTTTCGAGCGTTCTTCGCTACAGTTTGATCACTTGGCGCGTGTGGAAGGCTGGAGCTTTTTTGTTCTTTGTTCAAGCCTCTTGGAATAATTTTTAGTGTGATCATGGGTGTCATCTTTTTGGGAGATTCAGTCTATCTTGGAAGGTATAAATATTGGTCATCTGGTTTGTTTCAACCTTCTCACTTGTGCTTTCCAAGTGTTTATCATATCTCATCATATAGGCAATTGTTTCAACCATTCTCCGTTACACTTTAACCACCGGTGGGTGTGGAAGGCTGGAGCTCTTTTTTGTTCTATGTTCAAGCCTCTTGGAATTATATTTGGTGTGATCATCATGAGTGCCATCTTTTTGGGAGATCCATTCTATCTTGGAAGGTACGTACAATTGTAATTCGTGTTATTGAAGCATTTGGTTAAACTTATAAATAATCAGAAATGACGACAAGTACATAATCATGTAAGAGAATTGGGGTACCAGGTACCCTCAATTAGTGAGGGCCCAGTACAAGTCTGCAGATTTATGATTAAGAAAGACTTCTTGTTAGCAAATTAATTAATGATAATTAGTCCAAAAGTTTTCAGTTTGGTTGGTGGGGAAGGTCGTTGGGATACAAAACAATATACAAGAGAAGCACAACTGCACAAGTATCTTAGAGCATCTCCAGCGCAAAGCCCAGCCCGGGGGAAAGGCTGCCAGAGGGAGCCCGAGGCAGCTCCAGCGCAGGGCCCGTAGCCCGGTTTGGTGGTGGGTCCCACGTGCCCGAGCAAGCCCAAGGGCAAGTCTTGCCCGGGCTGAAGCCCGAGTTGGCTGAGGGTGTGGGGGCCGCAGCGGGGGGGCCCCCCTGGCCACCGGCCTATAAAAAAAGTTTTTTTTTTTTTTTTTTTGCCAAAAAAATTCTAGAAAATTCTGAAAATTTCTGAATTTTTTTTTTTAAATACCAAAAAATTATGTATTTTTTCCCTATAAATACCTAACCATTTTATTCACTTTCTACACCAAATCTTCATAAAAACTCATCTCCTTCCAATATTTTTCACTTTCCACATCAAAATCTTGGCAACGAGGTAAAAAAAAAAAAAAAAAAATCCGTTTTATTCAATTTAATGTTTTTATATATATATATATATTTCTTGCATTTCCAATTTCTTTTTTTTTTAATAGATTAGTCAAGGCAAAACCAAAAATGTTATTCGAAAAATTTTATCCAAAAATTTTATTTGAAAATTTAGAGGGCCACAACTGGCGGGTGGAGGGGGGGCGGCCCTTGCTTGCCCTTGCCTTAGACTTAGCCCTTGTGGGTGGAGATGCTCTTATGTAAATAACAAGGCAGGTTCTCTGTTGTTTGTGTCATGTGATTATTAAAATGGTTCTAAACTTTTAATGTAATGAAATGTAAATAAATACACAATTTTTAATTGTAGAAACTCGGGATTGCATATGAAAACACACTTGAAATATCTCAACTCACTAAGTTTAAAGTTTATAATGTCGATTTTTTGAACATTTTTTGGACTAGAACGATGCAGCAGACAACTAATTGAAATGCAAAAGGAGTTTCACCATTCAACTTATCATTTGACCACTAACTAAGTTTTAGTCCAATAATATTTCCTACATTTTATAAAGAAGATTTTAAGTCCGAATATCTCTCACAAATAGTAAAAACAGGACAATGCTTGAAAGAAAATTGAAACAATGTTTTTCTTTTATCTTAGAAAGAAAAGAAAAGGTGAAAGCAGTGTATTTAAAAAATAGTAAAAACCAAGTGGCGAGCAAAGTTAGACAAACAAACACACACCTAGGCAATGATGAATGAAAAAGTGAGAGTTGAAATTCTGAATTATTTGACGAGTTTGATAGAAAGTGGTTGTGTAAATTCTGGTTCTGGGATTGAAGAGAAAAGCAGAGTCATGGCGAAAGTTGAAGCACTACCCAAGCTGGGGTAGTAGGGATGATGATGGCTGAGTGTGCTCAAGCTGGGGTTATGATACTATGCTAATTTAATCCTCATTATGTATAGAACTTCTGCACAGGTAATGGGACTTGCTGGTTTAAATTACGCCTCTGCTACGCTTAACACAGCCATGCTCAATCTCATTCCAGCCTTTACATTCATACTTGCCTTACTATTCAGGTTTCTAATTTCTCAATTTGTAGTTCCTACTTCTTTCTATCTGTCAGGCGTTTGAGTATTTAAGTTGAGGCTAAAAACATAATAATAATAATTTTTCTTATGTTAAGTTGAGGATAAAATAATTGTTCTCCATGTCACCCATGATTTTATGTGATTAATTAGGATGGAAAACCTGAACTGGACGAGGCTCAAGCATGTATCATAGTTTAGAGCTATCCTAGTTTGATTACTGTTTCGTTACACCACTAGGATTACAAGAGAACAACGAGATAAAATATGCAATCAAACAACAAAGGCGGAACCAAGAAAAACATAGTTCCATCTCTTGGAAGGAACAAAATCGATGTGGAGAACACAACCCCACTTTGTTTTTGGGTTTAAAAAAAAAAAAAAAAAATTGGACCTTCGGCATCCTTGACTCAGAATTAGTTTAAGGCACAAATCTACTTTGACCTTGAACTTTAGCCTAATTTTTTGTTTACTGTGAAGTGGTGAGTATATATCATGGGGTACAATTTGGAAAATATAAGTGGTTGTTGGGACTGCTTTACGTATCAGTGCCGTAGCATGGTGCCTGCTGAGAACAGGACCCGTGTATGTTTCTATGTTCAAGCCCCTTGCTGTTGTTGTCGCAGATGTCATTGATGTAATTTTTCTGGGACAAGCTCTGCATCTCAGAAGGTATGAACACATATTTCTCTGTATTTTGTTCTCTGTATTTTGTTGACTGATTTGATTGTGCAAGATACCTCTGAGTTCAATGTGATATATGCCTTTTTGAATGCAATACTTGATGCAGTTAGCTAAAATGTAGTAGATGATGGTGTAGCTTTTCAACTTGTACTAAATACTATCTTCTTCTTTTTTTGCCCATGGTACATAAGAAGTAATCAAAATCTTACTGCAGCTTGATTGGAGCAGCTGTAATTATCACTGGCTTTGATGCTGTGATATGGGGTAAGGCCAGAGAAGAGAAACTGCATGAGGACAGTGGAGAAGGGTAGTGGTCAGAATCATCATCTGAAAGCAACCCCCCCTGCTGCAAAGTGCAAAATTAGACACAAGAGACACAGATTTGTCTTGTGTATAGAAACCATGGTCTTAGACGTCTTTGTAATTTTGATGTGTTTTAGTATATATATATATGTTAAGCATTTCCATCTATCAAAAGAAAAATATGTTATGCATTTCCAAATATAGAATGAGTGCTGTCATTTCATTTAAAAGAAAAAAGAATTTACTTGCAAATAGTTGGTTTAGTTCTTCTTCTTCTGTTTTGTTAAGTCAGTACATGGAAGGTTCTTGGGTTCAAATAAAAAAAATAATTCATGGGTTCAAATAAAAATAATAATTCATAAGTACAGAATGCAGTGCGAATAAAGCATATGCTTGTAGCGTTGCTCAGAAAAATATCTACATGGTTGCACATAGAATGCTCTATGAAAAATATATCTTGCATTGCATCCAATAATACTTTTGACAATGAAAGAGAATTGACTATTGCAAAAATACCAACCATGCATTTCTTCCACTACAACAAAATTAAGTACGTGGGGAAAGAATTGAAACAGGCCAAGTGGTTTAGGAACCCTCAATAATAACCCACATCCATAATTCAGGAAAATTACTGTAGCTGATTATGACAAAATAAATGACAGGGATGTGCGTTCTTCTGCATGTGTACCTGTGTTTGTGACTCTGTGTGTGTCACAGAGAGAGAGAGAGAGAGAGAGAGAGGAAGGATGAGCATGGATAAATTTCTGCCATTTATTGGAATGGTGGTGGTGATTATGGCTCAGACTGGGAGTATGATGCT